CAGTCAAAAGCCGTGCTGCCAACCCGCAAGTGAGTTTATACAGCTGTACCACTTGCATAGGCTGACTTCTGTGGCTTAGGAGCAGCAGGAAGGCCACAAGCAAGAAGAAAATGGCTCCGCTTCATACGCGTCTGAGTTTGTCTTTTGACCTGTGAGCGTGGCTGAATATGGCTAACTACTCACTTGTAGTGCAGGCAAAGGGGCTCTTGCTCGTCTTGGCAAGTATTGGTATCCTGTGCGGCTGATTCAGTCCTATGAGACTGCTAGTCTCCCTGCTACTGCACGCAACCGAGTACGCTGGCAGGTGATTTGGTGGCGCGGTTGCAAATTCCCATCCAGTCTCGGACCACCTCCTAGTGATGTCGAGCAAGGAGATCTCGTGGACGAACTCTGGCAGGACCAATCTAAGAGGCGTGAGATTCGCGTGAGTGTCATTGACTGGTTATGTACTTAGTCCTCTTAACATGAAGTATTGTGTAGCTCGGAGAATGGGTCCACTCTTGGGATACCCCTCGCGAAGAAGACTTGATTCAAAATTTTATGTCAGCAGAACCATCGAAAGAATTGGACGACATTCTACGACCTCATATTGCTTCGCTTCAGAAGCTCCTTGATAGTCTTGACTTGAACCAGTGTGATGCGGAGGCATATCCTGTGATAGACTACATCTTGCGGTCGAAGAAGAACCTAGATGGTGTGGGTGCATACAGCATACCATTTTGTGGCGACATCTCATCTCACGAGTATGCAAAAATCGCACGTTGGTTCGCTGAGAACATTCCCGGTGCCTCCGGTCAAGTCGAAAAATGGCTCGGTGGCATGCCTTTAGTGCACGCTTTCACTCTCGTTGTTGCTCATCGAAAGGCTGGTTATTTCCAAAAACGCGTCGAAGCTCAGAACGAGGAATGGAACAATAACGAGCTTTTGAAGATGGCTTGGGCTGCTCTCGATTTCTGATGCCGGGTGTCGCTCGTCGTTTGTTTCGTCCTACCATCATGCCTGGTGGCTTAGAAGAACGATATATTAAACTTGCAGGTAGGTCACTCCATATCACGTTCGCATCTGTTTCATGTTTCTCACAACTATCTACAGTCATCAGCGGAAAGAATGTGAAGTTCCTTCTGAGCGCTTTCCCACAGGCATTTACGCATCGGTGTCTTATCATCGGATGAATCTGTAGCATAGGGGGATATTGGGACTCTGTAAAGCCCATAGGGACTTTCTGACACGATGCGAGAATTGATCTTTGGTTTCTAGATCATCGCGTGCCTCACCTCTGTCAGTGGAGATCTATGAGCTTCGTCGAATGTTAGGCAGGGGGAGGTCATCGGGCAACTTAAAACGTTGTGGGATGAGATGCTCGATCATGGAGATGAGCCATTCGGTCAGCAACATACTTGTTGTTCATGCATATCTACTAACATCTCATAGGTTCTGGTGTTCACGGTTCCGTCACGTGTTGTACATGCTTGCGACGAGCAGGACAACGCATCCGATGTGAGTGACGCTGGCTTATGCTGTTAGCTTTTGCTGACGGAACATCAAGTGTAATCCCTCGTAGACATTGCTCAAGACACAGATGCGGGCCACACACGATTTGCTGAATACATGACGAGCAGTGCGGTCCCTCACCTGAACGATAGCACCTATGATGATTTGGCCCATGGTGAAAACTATCGTATTCCAGCTGGGACTATGGTATTCGGCAACCATTGGTAAGCATTGTGCTTCAAGAAATCACGGATCTAACAGTCACTGCCTTGGGCCTATCTCTCGGGATTCAGATGTCTACCCGGAGCCTTATGCGTTCAAGCCACAACGCTTTGAATGACATTTATTTCAGGGTATGCCCTGGTCAATATGTCACGAACATGTAAAGCAGTCTTGCAAGCACGCGGTCTTCCAAACTCATTTCGGTTGGTACAGACCAGTGTTCATAGCCACGCCCCTTATTCTTTGGGCCTACAAGCTCACTATGGAACCTACAAAGCCATTAGAGGACATGGGGTACATGAGCGGGTCGATGTCAGAGGTTTTGCCGTGCACATTTGAGTTTTGAGAAGAGGATTCCGGAAACGGAACTCAGGAGCATGTTGCAACGTTATCCTGAGGTCGTCTGAGAAGCTTTGATGCCTGGATGGATCAGGGAGAAGAACAAGTTCCCAACGAATCCTCCCAGGCTCGCAGTATGTCTTAATTTTGCCTACTAAGCCGATTCTGAATTGTGTATTATCATGGCGTAATTCCTGTCTCAAGGACCCCATTGTCTTCACTCAGTTGGTGATAAGATGTTATCATGGAGTTCCAATGACTGTGATATTCATATTACCGCGCGCGAACACAGATATCCCACAAAACAACGCATAGCTCAAATGCTCATTGGAGGCATGACACAATTCTTAATGAAAGTACAGTGCACGCCAAAGAAAAACGCCCTAACAAAATCCATAAGACAGTAGTTCATTCTGGACGGAACGCCATCCCCACCTATTAGTCTAGAGCAGCTACAAAAATCTTGTGAAGGAGGAATCAAGCGATTAATAACATGGTTGAATGCATACCTTCAATATATCACCAGCCCACCCAGCACGGGCTTTCGTCAACGCATTAATGAACTCTATGAAACCCGTCGGTTTACAACCACTACCCTTTACGATTCCCTATGGAAAGCGTCACTCCAGACGCAGGTACGCCTCTCCCTCTGCGCACTATCGACGCCTCTTCAAGTTGCGGCCTCTTTGCCTCAAAATCCCACGTAGCGAACATTTATGCGTCGGGTAACGTGAATGTTGGAGGTCCGTTGCTGCGTCCGTCGGTTGTACCGTCATATTTATCTTTCCTGCCAGTGGGCGCCCCTGGTGCAGACGAGTTCCGAGGCAAGCTGACACAGGTGCCCCGTTGTAATACGGGTGGGTGTGCGAGGTGCATGGTGCGTGTCATGAGATATGAAATGAATGTGCAAAACGACGACTTACAGGCAAGATCTGACGAGCGAAATCTGGTGGACGTGAGGATTGCTGAGGCACAAGAAGAACGGGGTTGTCTGCGGAAAAAACAGGGCGGGGTGGCGCAGAGGAAAATATAGGTTTGTTATTGGACTCTTTGTCGTCTTTTCCTGCGCGTAAGTCAACTGCGGGACAGGGTAGGAAGGGCCAATGACTGCGACGCGAGGTGGGCTAAGTACGATGTTGGCATATAGCGTATCTGGAGGGTTCCACTGTGGATTGTTTTGTACTTGCGACAGGAGCGTTGCCGCAACTTTGTGCTTCAATGGATCTGGTGGGCTGGGAGGGGAACGGGGTGGCGTTTGGTGTGTTGTGAGACAAAAAGAATGTTCCTGCGGGCCGCTTTTCTTTTTTCGTCTCCATTGTCATTTTCAGACCTCTCATCCTTTCAGCTACAGTGAACGCAACAGTGGACTTTGCGACTCCCGCCGTGCCATACAACCAGATGATTCGGCTCTTTTCGTTGTTGTCTAATAATCCGTAGATGTACTTGAGGTACACCTGGGTCCCTTCCAAACATTGCGGATGGGGCAGACGTTCACGAGAGTCATGTTCAGCACCAGCAACAGTGACCTTTATCCCAAGTTCCTTCAGACATATCCAAGAGCTGTCAATGAGGTCGGGGAGCGATAATAAAACATAAAAGATGAAAATACTGACATTGAATCACGGCACAGCCAGAAGACAAAATGAGTAGGAAGGCTTTCATTGGACTTTCAAGCTCAAGCTTCAAGAGGGGCACTGCAACAACAAATGTTTATCAGTTTCGCATTCCAACCGTCAGTGCCACAGATCAGAAGCTTGATCAAACGAACTTATGTTTCACGTTCTGACTCCAGACAGCGATGTCTTGCGGATGTTGGTCCCGGGGCGTAGCTATTTTGATGCGGTCCTGCCGTGCCTGCCGCGGTCGTGACGCGCATGTGACGCGGCGTGACGCGCAAGTGACGCAGCACTGACGCGGCACTGATGAGTCTTGACGGGGCTACTGACGCACTAGTGCAACTCATTTCTCATCAAGTTGTATGGGTTCATGATCATTCCTTCGTTGATTTTATTCACCATAGGCACATATACTACTAGCCAGTCCTCAACTAATGACTATTTTCTTGGAACTGACGAGCCTTGACGCGCCAGTGTTCTACACTAAGGACACATACTACTAGTCGCATCAGCCAATGACTATTTTCTTTTCCTCCCTCTCTGGACCCTCTTTGAAGCACGTCGACGTTTAACTGGTGCGCATTCTTCAGCTGGCAGTGAAGGGCGACGTTTCACGGGCGCAATCTCTTCTTCAGCCGGCAGCGAAGGAGCTACAATGTCGGACAACTCGTCTGCAGACGTGGCATCAGAGTTGTCGCTGAATAAAGGGCCGCGCTGTCAATCACATCGGTTAGAGACTTATTGAACAGAGCAGGTAATATTTTCCTTACCTCAAGTTCACTCTCGCTGTAATCTCTGCCCAGAACCCACTCAGTAGGAATGTTGAGATACACGCCCCACCGCCTGTGATGTTGACCAGCATCCAAACCCACTGCCGGTTGCCTGCAAGTCCTGCTTCTTCGGAATCCTCGAACATCCTTGCTTCCAGTGTGGTCAGACACTCGAGGTCTACGTCAGCCACGAAACTGTCGGCGGGATAGCTTATCATGAGATCAGCCCAAGCCATCTTCAAAAGCTCGTTATTGTTCCATTCCTCGTTCTGAGCTTCGACGCGTTTTTGGAAATAACCAGCCTTTCGATGAGCAACAACGAGAGTGAAAGCGTGCACTAAAGGCATGCCACCGAGCCATTTTTCGACTTGACCGGAGGCACCGGGAATGTTCTCAGCGAACCAACGTGCGATTTTTGCATACTCGTGAGATGAGATGTCGCCACAAAATGGTATGCTGTATGCACCCACACCATCTAGGTTCTTCTTCGACCGCAAGATGTAGTCTATCACAGGATATGCCTCCGCATCACACTGGTTCAAGTCAAGACTATCAAGACATTCACACTGGTTCAAGTCAAGAATCGAAGCAATATGAGGTCGTAGAATGTCGTCCAATTCCTTCGATGGTTCTGCTGACATAAAATTTTGAATCAAGTCTTCTTAGCGAGGGGTTATCCAAGAGTGGACCCATTCTCCGAGCTACACAATACTTCATGTTAAGAGGACTAAGTACATAACCAGTCAATGACACTCACGCGAATCTCACGCCCTCTTAGATTGGTCCTGCCAGAGTTCGTCCACGAGATCTCCTTGCTCGACATCACTAGGAGGTGGTCCGAGACTGGATGGGAATTTGCAACCGCGCCACCAAATCACCTGCCAGCGTACTCGGTTGCGTGCAGTAGCAGGGAGACTAGCAGTCTCATAGGACTGAATCAGCCGCACAGGATACCAATACTTGCCAAGACGAGCAAGAGCCCCTTTGCCTGCACTACAAGTGAGTAGTTAGCCATATTCAGCCACGCTCACAGGTCAAAAGACAAACATCAGACGCGTATGAAGCGGAGCCATTTTCTTCTTGCTTGTGGCCTTCCTGCTGCTCCTAAGCCACAGAAGTCAGCCTATGCAAGTGGTACAGCTGTATAAACTCACTTGCGGGTTGGCAGCACGGCTTTTGACTGCTGTGTTGAGCATCCATCGCAATAGAATGCTTCTTTTGGATGCGAGATTATTAGTTTTTGTTACCTCATCCCACGTGAATAACCTTTCAAAATCTCCGTCCGGCCATGGGTCCCACAGGTCATCTGTCAGGATCTGGTCACCAGCGGCAGATTTGGGACGTAGAGAGTCGGATGGTTGATCTGGACCGCGGCGTTGATTTGCTCGGGCTGTAGAAGGACTAGCACTTCGGGTACGCCGGTGTGGCATATGTTTTGTGTCTGTGCGAAGATCAAAGATCTCCTGGGAGTGGTGTCTCATGAGTCGAGGGAGGGATGGAGCGTTTGAGGCGGAGTGCACAGTTCTATGTGTGATAGGAGTCGTTGGAATGTGTGGAGCACCTATGTGTTAGCTATAGTGTCAGGGAGGCAAGCAGAGAGTCACTGAAGCATTGCTCACTTAAAGCATGTGATGGCCGAGCGGTCTGCACAGAGGCTGGAAGATAAGCTATTACATTACCTGTTCTACAGTTCGAATTTGAGTTCGCAAAGAGCATCAGTGGAACGGCGCACCGGAGCGGTCATAGCAGGGAATGAGGTCCCCAACCAGCGGTTGAGCTGGACGATTTTGATCCCCCCTCTCGCTGGGATAGAAAAAATTGAATATATGTTTGATTAATTCCTAGAGTATGGTTAAAACAAGTGCGCTCTGTATCTCAAAGCACTCACGATAGGCATGGTATATATAGATTTCCAACAGCGCGATACCGGTTCTGCTCTAGGCCATAGGAGTTGAGGGTGGAGAAATAATTTTTTGGAGTGCCACTGCCCGTAGAATGCTTATATTATGTACCTAAGTGACACTGACAGTTATTGACGCGGCACTGAGGTTTGACGCGGCATGTATAGATGTGACGCGGCAGTGATGCGGCATGGGTGAAGTGTGACGCGGCATGGGTGAGGTGAGACGCGGCAGTGACGCGGCATTGACGAGGCATTGCCGCGTCACAACTTGCTTGACTCGCCTGTGACGCGGCATGTGCTATGCTTGACCGCGGCATGCAAGTGGGCCTTGACGCAGCATAGATAAGTGTGGAGGTTTACATTAGTGCGGAGGCTGCGAATATGTTGGGGAGAACTTGTCGTAGTGTGAGTAGTGCTTGATCCAGCCTTACTGAAGCTTGACATGGCATGGTTGGGGGCTTGACGTGATAGTACAGAGCACAGAGGCTGCCGGACTTGATAAGGTGGGGTCGAGACTTGACACAGTGATACAATAATTCACACTGCTGTCTGAAAACAAACTTTGGATCAATGATTAGAGACCATACAATACAAACACAAGATGCACAGAATATTCCCAAGTAGTACGAACACAGAGGACAAGCACTGTGAAATTGGTGAGAGGTGAATGCAGCATTCCAGGGCCTGTACACAGCTGAACATTCATATGTTGATCATTAGCGAGGATACAAAGTGTTTGGAATTCATTTCGAGCGACATAAGGTAGTGTTTGAACATAATCTGTACCCTAGTATTTGTGACGGAGCCACGTCACATATGCCACTTCAGTGCCGCGTCACAGGTGCGTCACGACCGCGACAGGCACGGCAGGACCGCGTCAATTTCACCTGGCCCACTACTGAGGGCGCACTACGTACGAGAAGTCGAGAGAGCTCGGTTTACTCGAGTTGCGCATCAGTTTTTTTAGATAGGTCGTTATCGGCCTTGAGCCGACATTTGGTGGAGAATGCGATGAGAAAAATGGTGTTGGTATGTACGAGCGCTCCGAGTCAGCGGGTTGTGCAGGAACAGAAGAAAATATTGACTGCAGAACTGGCTGTCATCGTTGGGGTTGATGCTGAAAACGTACCGTCATCTATTGTTTCTGTACTTGTCGGGGTAATGGTTGAACTTGAGAGAAGACATTCGGCGTTCGCCCTCTCGTCATTCGTGTGTCCTGCTCCATGGTCGACATTCATGTGCCTGGAATTCAGTCAGCTCCAAGAACTCCAGCGGACCAGCTTATCCAACGCTCCTTCCAGAAGCTTCTAGAATACGGACTTTCAGGCATGTTCAATGATCTCCCCGTTGGTATTCTACCGCTGAAAGCTTCCATCCCTTCCCGTCCGGTGAAAGTGCCAGTACTAGTGCATGGATCCATCCACTCTCACCTTTCCATTCTTCCTCGACAACAAACCGTGTGTTGGCAGTTCCACTTGCGCATAGTGCCGTCCTCTGAACTACTCACGGTGTAGACGTTGACTGTGTCGTGCAAAAAGAAAAAAACCTGAATCACCCCATCGTGTCCTTCAGATTCATACTTTAGAATTGGTTCTTCCCATCGTCGAAACTTCATTGCATGTCCATCTTGCAAAGAATCTAGCAGCCATAACTCATTACCGTCATCGGGTGGATCAATCAGACTCTACTACCGTCAGTGGTCGATTATGGAGGCGAACAAGTTGGCCAGCACTCACTGATCTGTCTACTGATCCGTTGCTTGGGGGCAAGCTGGCAAGACAGGCGAGTTTTCATGTCCTGCAGGTGGAGGGCATGCTTTCCACGAGGCGGTACTGATCGTCCATTGACAAGTTCTTATCGCATCACTTTGATGTTTGCAAACAACAATGCCCAGCCATCCAATTCCTGTCATGTTTCGATGCATATACGCATCGACCAGTAAGTAACACAGCCTGTCCCGTCTATCTATTGTTTACTTCAAAGTTCATGTTGTTCATTGTGCCTTGCACTCTAACCATCTCATACTCCTTTAAAGCTCTACTCTCCCAAAATACAACACAATACCTTTCAGTACTCGTTGATGTCAGGATGGGCATACGCGATACGACATTGGGGACATAGAAGTGCGCAAGGGACGCCAGGTGAGTACTTTGTGCTTCCAGTATTTGGGACGTATATTCTGACTGTGTCTTCGCCTTCTAGCGAGAGAAGATGACCTTCCCTTATTGTCTGCATATATCCTCATGCTCATCCTGGACCCATCCCTCGTATCCCTGCAAAACACCGGGTCCAGCAACCACACCAACGACATCACGAGGGACTTGTCTTTCACCCGGATGGGGTCAAGCTTGCTGGTTAATGTATTCTACATGTAGGTCACATCCATCTAGTACAATTCTGTCGCCATGTAAGAGCTTACATCCCGTCCTGCTTCGTGTCAATTGGGTCCACCTCCACCTCTCCGCTATCACCTTTTCGGACAAGGATTGTCCCGTCGCGGAGCCGACACCCAGAACAAATAATGGCAGGCGGTCAAACATGAGAGGTAGGACCTATAGTAAAAGGTGAAGACGGTGAGCGTTAGTGCAAGTGAGGTATGAGTTGATCGGTGGAATAAGATGGGGTGTTAGTGGTGAGAGCAGGCCATAAGCACCAGAGCTGGGCAACGAGAGATATATGAAACACACGAGAGCAAATGAAGACCTACAATACGCCCATGACATTTTAAATCGCTTAAAGGTTCGCTTGCTAGTCGAGCCTGCCCTGCGAGGGAGGTGGCGCGATTGGATCCAGTAAGTTCTTCATTGTGATTTGGATGGCGATACGTCGAGAGGATTACAGCTACTGTAGTATGTGTGCGGCAGAAGGTGTACTGCTAAAATTAGCTTTATGAGACTTGACATCATGGTTGAACGTTGAAAGGTGACACACATGAAAACGCGTAGGCCGTAATCCAAACACCTAGTATACCACCTGCGTGTTCACATAGGCTACTTGAAGCTAGTATCTTCCGAGTGGATGACATAAGATTCACCGAGTCTCCAGCTGCTTTGAATTGGCTTTCGACACCTCAGGCTATCAACCTATATTTTGTGTGCTCTCACTCGGCCTGAAGCCCCCAAATCCCCACGTGCCAAATCGATTCACAATGAATCTACAGGACGGGAGTTGTGATGGTGAGCACTGTTCCTTTTTTGGCTCCAGCTCCCCCCTGCGTCGTTCGCCTACCCACGACGCTTGGTATGGCCCTGGGCTGAGTGGTCGTGGCTTCACTGCCCCTTCCTCCATGCCCACGCCCTTAACACCATACGCCGTCTTCGTTTATTGACACGCCTTTATCTGCAGGTGCTCCAATGCATCGCCGTTTTCTGGATGACACCGGTGAGAAGCGCCTTGCCTCCTCTGGAATGCGTGAACGCTGTGCCTTACTGATCCCTTGACCGACAGTGCTTGCCATAACGACGATACTCACTGAGCGGTGAGTTTTGCGAGGCTCGTCCGCACGCACGGCTGAATCTCAGCCCTTCGTCAGCTTTCCCCCTTCGCATGGTGTGGATTCCTGCGGCCTCGGAGCCGGCGAGCTTTGCGTAAAGGGCTTGGACCTTCAGGACGTTATTCTGGCGCGTCACGAATATCCTTGGGAGGAGGGGCGTAATCGTGATCCAGATGTGGAGGAACTCCTCGAGCGGCGTGCCAGCGCTGTGCCAACTGATGCACAGCGTTCTGCCACTCCGGGCTATACTAAGATCCCGTGAGTTACTCACTACGGGTCCTTTTACCCTTGCTGACTGCCTTTCACAGGCAGCGCAAGCGCCAGTTTCCAAACTGCCAACTCGCTGACAGCATCCCGCACAAGAAGCCGAGAGTGAATAACGTCCTCAGTCCCAGTCTGCGCATGCTCCCCTCTGGCTCACACCTGCTACCCTCCGGCTCGCATGCACTTCCCCCTAGGCCCCCTGCAATGGCTCCTCGCCCCGCGCACCCCCTCAAAGACCCATCCCTCCCTCCAAAGCCCGTGTGCTTAAGCACACCTGCCTTGCAACGTACTTCACAGTGCCTGGAGCCTCCTGATTGCATAGAGCAGTCCATACCTGGCATGATGCCCCCTCCAACCCCATCTGCCTCTGCCTCACGTCAAAAGGCACCGGCAAGGGTGAAGAGGGATTTAAGACGTCGCGAATTGCACAGGCTCGACACTGATAGAAAGGTGGAGGAGTTCAAGTCCGATGGAGCAGTCAATGCACTTGCCTTTCGGGTATCTACGACTGGCTGGCAAGGTACAAACTATGGCTCTACTGAGTCAGGGAAAATTCTCCGGGAGGAGTGGTATAGCTACCAGATATTGTTTCGCTTGACTAAATTTGAAAGAGTTCCATATCAGAAGTGAGTGTTTTGAACTTTGAGCTGTGCAGGGCCTTAATTATGCATTGCAGCCTTAAAACTCGGATCAGAGATTCTCAAGGTAGGCTGTGGCTAGTGCGAACCTTTGTGGGTCCACACATGCATGAGCTCCTTCCACGTTTTCAAAAGGAGGCAGCTGCCTTTGTACTTGCTGTTGAAGAAAGCAAGATGGGCTTTAAGGAGACTGAGATGCAGGAGAACACTAGGGGACCTCATTGGATTTCTATCTGTGGCCATGACCGCAACTCTAAATCTGTAGGAGTACCTGTCTCAATGCCTCTCAGCTTGTAACCACTAGACTCTCCAGAAGCCTGCTCTCAGTGCTTGGCACATATCAAACCACAAGGCCATTGATCAACTGTGGAGCCCTGGAGGTGCCACCTCTCATATAAGGCAAGTTGAAACTATTTACTGTTATAAGAAGTCTGTCTCAACCCACACAAGTGGGCTCATGAATGTCATCTTTCAGGGAGAATTCCCCCTTCTAGCCAGGAGGTACATGGCTTGTGCAGAAGCTCTAGGAATCCAGCCTCTATATGGTCATTTTTTTAATTTTTGCCTCAATTCTGCTAGAGCTGGGGTCCCACGTGTTCACTGCAGCCCCCATGTGGATTGGAAAAACATAGCTATAGGGGTTTGTGTCATATTCATATATGGTAAGTCTTATTCACACAGTACATGTCTTTGCCTCATTGAATCAATTCTAGGCCAATTCAATAGCAAAGAAAGATCTTGGCTTGTGATCTGGGAGGCAGGTGTAGTGATTGAGATGCCACCAGGTGTCTTTGTCATGTATCCCTCCTCTCTCTTTTTCCACTTTAATGTGGACATATGTGGTGAGCTTGGACCTCCTTCTATTGTTCTTGCCCTCTTCAAGTAGCTAACTGGCTATAAAGACTTAGAATTTGTTTGCACTGAGGGGGAGCTTCCTACAAAGCAAAACTCCTCCCCTCTAGATGGTGGGGATGGGAGAGGGTCTTGTGTCTGGTTCAATCAGGCCAGCATGTTCCAGACTGCTGAGCTTGGCTTTGCAACAGTTGCAGCAGCTAAGCAGGCTGGTGCACCCTGCACATCTGACACTTCTTTGCTAATTAATCAAGGACTTTTCCCAGTTGATCAACGCCCTCCCCAGTAATATCACATGTATCAGATTTGTGTTGGCTTGGATTGGAGGAGTTGAATGTACCTACCTAGTCAGAGAGTCTTTAGATTTAACACTATGGGATATATCTCGCCTGTCTGTAGGCCTCTAAGCATCGGGGATGTCTGCACTCCTATAAACACTGGCAACAGAAAGATAGGCAAGACACATTCCAAAGTGTGTGAAGCACCGGCTGGGCGATCCTGACGGATGGCAGCAAAGGACACTGATAGAGACCTGTCATGTCTGTGAGCATTTATCAGCGCGGTAAGCTATGGTGTGTATGAAGAGATGTAGAACTATGAAAGAAACTGCCCATCTCTCCAGTATTGGCCAGCAGCGTGCAAGGGCAAGAAATTGAAGACAGATGTCGGGCACCACCATATTTGAGAGCCTGGTCTTGCAAGTCCACCCAGATTTTCGACCACCAGGCGGACGATGTCATCCCACAGCTCCACCAAGGCTGTTGTCAGTGCTGGTTAAAGTTGTTGGGGTGTGGTTCAGGACCGGTTTGAGGTATGACAGCCTAAACCTGAACCTGTTCATGATATCTCAAGGCCATCAAACATGAACATTAGCCAATGGTGCGGTCAAGAACCGGTCCTATACGGTGCTGTTCAGGTGCGAACCGGTTCAAACTTTTTCTACTACCAAAATTGAAAAAACATAGGTATTAGAGCTACTTCACACCCAACTGCACTTCATCTACAGCGTCGTTGAGCCAACATTGTCTCCGTGCAGCTTCCTTGGCTTCCATCTCAGCTTTGCGATGCCTCCACTCCTTCTTGTACTTATTCTTTACAATTTGAATGTCGCCAAAGTTTGCTGGAAGTAAACATGCACAGCATTTGGTATCTGTCAGCCCAGCATCCAAAAATGCAAGCTCACAAGGCACAGAGGAGCCTTGGATAGGGAGGTAGTCAAGGGCCATGCAGCTGAGAATCAGGTATTTCGTGACATTGGCCTTCCACCACTTGAGAATATGCTCTGCCTGGTGCTCTGGGGATGACCATTGGTCATTGACGATGAGTGGCTCCTCAATGTAAGATTTGAGTTCTGCGTGAGAATCCTTAGTGATGAGCTTTTTGCGGGCATGCCGACCTTCAGTAACCCTGCTCATCAAACTGCCAAAACCATTGCTCGACTCAGAGCTACCAGGCTCCGTCATTGGTATACGATCGTTACTAGTAGTAGCGATTTCCGTGCAGTGTTTCTGGCAGTACTTATTGAACTAAAAATTATGATTAGATCTGATGCCAAATATGAATTTTTCACAGAAGTCAACACATACCACTTTTCCATAACAGTGAAGGCTTGTCGTTGGCCATCTTCGGTCCATGCAACATTGAAATATTCGTCCTTATGCAGGAATTGAGATCTAAGATAAAATAGCAATCAGTGTCAAAGTCAACATAAGTGGTGTTTCAACAAACACATAGAAACAATGTGTGCAGGGGAATTGTCGGTCTTATTGTAGTACTTTTCGAGGTTCGTAATACCTGCCTGAATAGCACATCAAAGCACTGCCATCTTAGGGTCTTCGGAGAATGTTTGCCACCGGATGATGAAGTCCTTGTAAAGCGGAAGAATTCGCCAGATGGTTGGATAGTATTCAGCTGAAAAGGCTTCTTGTACATCAGCTGCTGCCTAAAATATATGTCAATGTGACCTTCCAGTGTTCAATATGCAAAAATACATACAGCGAACACCTTCCGGATCATAGTGAGGAGATCCCATTCAGTGTCCGAAACACGATAACTCGCATACTTCCGCTGGTTTTTGTCGACATTGGGTACATCATCTGAATTGTCTGCAGTGTTGATAAATATTTTAACGGCCTGAAACAATTTAACATGAGTGTGATGGCTGAACAAAAATAAGTCTGACTTACTTTCTTGAGTAATAGCATTCAAGCTATAACACCATTCCATGAGCCCCATCGTGTCTTACAGTATGGCAGAAGCTCGAGCTCTTGATCGAGCACATCTTCGCAGCACTTCTTGAAGTACTTCTTGGCTTGCGGGGACCGTCAAACCTGAATTTACTAATGAATAGCAGCCCTCGATAGTTATTCAGGTACTATTACCTTTGCAATGAATCCTCGAACCTTCAGTAGAAGTCCTAAAACTACTTTTACCTGTTCCAAACCGGCAGGTAGGTTTGCATATGCAGTGTCAGCCTCTCAGATAAGAGCCTCAATTCCATCTTCTGTGTCTTCATCGTCAGCACTGGCGTCGATATCACCCATGGACATGTCATCTGGGGGAGGTGGAATCACAGGGACATCTTCATCCATTCCTGCCGAATTCTTTTTCTTGACACTGGGAGATAGCTTGGTCAAAAATGCGCCCTCAGCGAGGGCCACTGCATGTGAGAAGCAGCTATCACAACCATTTAGTTACAGTAAAACAAATTATAAGATTTCAATGGTACGAACTGTGGATGCTGGGCTGTCGCATTAAAGTCATGTGACTCATTCCTCAATTTCTTGCCCAAGACACGCAGACTTTTGTCATTCACAGAGACATTGTCAGCTGTGATGTTCTGTACCTGATATACACCATGACACAGATTAGCAACACACAGCACAGTATAAAAATTGAATCAACTTTATTAGAGATGCTGAACTTATCCAAAACATCATATAATTCCTCACCGAGATTCTCGCCAGTATGACTACCTGAAACCTCTGAAAAGATAGCAATTCGCAATGCAGCTGCCATTCTCTTGTCATCCAATGCCCTGTTACAGCAAGATATGATGTCATTATCTTTGATGTCCACCCATCAAAAGTAAGTGAAACATGGCCGGGAGATTCCTGCAGTTCCTTAGTGAGATCCTTTCAAATTTCATCAGCACGTTCGAGAACACAGGCGGTGATTTTGGTCCGATGTGGGATATCTGTGTCTTTGGTTTTGTTCCAGCTGTTGTAAGCGAGAAGTTCATGAAATGACTCATGGTCAACAATTGATAGTGCCTAGGCAGATACTTTCAATGCTGATGGGCAATTTATCTATTTATTCACGCACCTGATCAGTCTCTAAAACGAAACGAATAATATGCTCTTGTAGACCATCATTAGTATACTGAGGCCCCGCCATAGGTTTCATAGTCTCCGTGAAGTCCAGAATGCTGTGTTGCCTATCAAACAAAGTTACATCAGACCCGACAATTCAAAATGAATTGTGTGTGATTTACGTATCGGGTGCCTTGCCTTCCAAGCGGTCCAACTCTTCCTGTGGAACACATCGTTCATCCATGTCAATGTTTTGCTGCACGCACTTCTCCTGGTATTGACAATAGTGAGACATGCCCATACATTGAATGTGAGTGTGCGTAGCAGTGTTGTTGCCTTTGAAGATAGTTTGCAGTTTGCTGTGCTTTTTCGAATTGGCTTCACAAAGTTCACTAGTCCAAGTCAAGTGAGTTTCCCACAAGTATGAAACATGAGTTCAGTACTCACACACAAGGCTCGCAGATATAACCTTGCAAAGGATCATCATCATTGATGAGCTTGAAGATGGTCAGGATATCAGCAGCACCATCACCTCTTTTACGTTTTTTCTTGACTGGCTTGGTCCACTCGGATGCTGTGTCATCAGCAGTCTCATCTTCAGCTGATGTAGATGACCCCGTGCGATGAAGCCCATTTTGCTTCACCCGTGCAATTACCGGCAGCTTTGTGACAGTTGTGGTCTTCTTCGACTTTGTATTGGCACCAACCTGCCCTTTTGAGCGAGTCGATGCCATTGGCGTTGGATTGGCTGCAGGTGTGGAATTGTCAGCTTTTTGTTTTCGAGGATTTGTGAAGTCAGCAGGGGTTGAGGATATGATTTTGAATGGGGTTGGTGAGGATGGTCTATTCCTTGCTGGTATTTTGAGAGTCAATGATGATGCAGGTTCACTGGTAGGAGAGTGAACCAATTCCATCTCTTCGGCATTTTTAGGGAGCCATCAGGATTGAGTGCTGGAGCATCAAGTTGCAGAGGCATTTTGGTGTGTATCATACTGCATCAGTAAACTACAAATTTCATCACAGACATCAACATTTTCGACAGTTCCCACAGTAACCCACAGAGGGACAGCGCTCACAGCAAACCTCTCCCAGGCAGAGCAATTTCACACACTGCTTGGTATTTTACTTTCAAATTTGTTAAGTCCCACATTACATGTACTACTTTAATCAAACTTTTGCTAGTACTCTATACTCTCAAACTTGACCCTCATCATGCAACTATTATAGACGACGGCATCAACATGCAATGACTCGCCAGCCACCGCTCACCGTCGATATCCTCTGCCTGCACCCTCTCACACCCTCTCGCAGATTTTTTTCTTTATTTTTCATTCATTTTCACTAATTAGTAGTAATTACAACCTTCCCACACACTGTCAGGATGTGCGTGATATCTTTTTCGACCTACTTACTCGACGCTGATGGTGCCATGGCCATGTTCTGCTCTCAGAATGTCGTTTTCACTTGTTCTCACTTGCCCTCACTCATTCTGACTTGTTCTCGCCCGTTCTGACTTGTCCTTGCTTGTTCTGATTCATCCTTGCTCGTTCTGGCCTGTTCTGATTCATCCTTGTTCGTTCTTACTTGTTCTGGCCCATTCTTACTTGTCCTCGCTCGTTCTGGCCCGTTTTGACTCGCCCTCGCTCATTCTGGCCCATTCTGACTTGTCCTTGTTTGTTCTGACTCGTTCTTGCCTGTTCTTACTCGTCCTCGCTCGTCCTTGCCCATTCTGACTCATCCTCGCTCGTTCTAGCCTGTTCTAACTCATCCTCACTCATTCTGACTTGTCCTTGCTTGTCCGTGCTTGTTCTGGCCCGTTCTAACTGGTCCTCGCTTGTCTGCGCTCGTTCTCACTTGTAGGTAGTACCCACAGGTAAACCCCTCAACTATGATACAACGATGACGATGACGACAACGACTTGACGATGATGATGACAACTCAATGATAATGACGACAACTCGACGATGACGATGACAACGACAACAACAACATCGACTCAACGACGACTCAACTCCAATGACTTGACTCTGACGACTCGACTCCAATGACTCAATGACAACGACTCAATGACAACGACTCAATGACAATGATGATGACGACTCAACTCCTCCTCCTCAACGACAGCAACAACAACAATGACAACGACGACAACCCAATAATGATGATGATGACGACGACGACGACACAACAACAATGACGACGATACGGCACAATGAAGCACTGCATTTGCACGATGTCCGTCGTAGATTACTTAATGTCTAGTAGTACTTGTTCATTTGCAATGCATTTGTTTTCATTTACTTTTATGTGTAACTTGAGTTGCAAAAAAAAGTGATTTCTAATATATTCTGTGTAACTAGAGGGCTACTGTGGAGCTCTGGGAAGCTCTGTACAGAGCTGTACAGAGATTTACAGAGATGAGCCTGTCTGTCCAGTGGGGACCAAGCTGTGGCTCTTGTGAGCTGTACAGCTCTGTACAGAACAAAGCAGTTTACTGATGTGGCTGCATGCAGTTGAATAATACTTTGAATTTTTGTTGAATTTTTGCCAGCTGCACAACAAAAACAGACATTGAGCTTCCTCTTTCTCAAGGTGATTATTTACTAGTACATATGGTGCGGTTACAGTTCGAACAGGTTCCCTACAGTTCACACAAAATGCTCAGTGCCTGAACCATGAACCTCTCCCAGCATGTATCAGTCGAACCGGATCGTAACCGCACTGCACCAGTGGTGCGGTTCACAGTTGGAACCAGTTTGGGTGGTTCAGAACCACACCCTGGCAACTTTAGTGCTGGTGTACTTCTGCATTGGAGTCTGGTCACCAATGTCTGGAGTTTTTCAGGATTGGTAGGGAGTGGAATCTTAGTCGGAGGTTTCTTGTGCAGGATAATAATGGCATTGCAAGACTACTTGCTCACAATGACCATGATGATAAGCCCATCACAAGCTGCATCTTGATGGTCAGAGAATAAGAGGGGGGAGGAGGAAGCGAGAGAAGCACTCGATCTTCCAGATTTCTTCTACAGCTCTATTCCGGTCCTTCACTAAATGTCTGTATGGGGCTTCTTCTGCTTCTACATCAATTCTCATGGTTGCTTCTTGATCATTCACAGGAGGTTTATCGAGGAGGGAGCTGAGGTCTCTGAATTTCTTCACCAGGGCTGCTGCATGATTGCCGCATGTCTGTCAAGAAGTGTGTGGAGTCATGTCATCTGGGTCCAGATGATAGTCCTGCCTTGTTCCAACAACTCAACAGCGCAACACACATCACCACAACAAAGGGCACACTATGCAGAAGGACATTGAGTACTTCGCTCAGTAACTCTTGAGCTACAACAGCATCTGTTTGAAATCCTGGTGTGGAGAAGCAAGAGAGCAGAGAAATGGCAATATGGAGTTGAGTGATGGTTCAGTCAGGATGATCAGTGGGACGTAAATCAAGGGCGTTGTGACAATCATATTGGCACTAGGCATGTATACCTGCATAAGCCTTCAATAGGTGGACCAAAGTTATCCCTCATATTATTCGCTACTCCCCTATCAGCAGTCTTCACTTGTCTCAGCCATAACCCTTGTCCGACGCTATTCCGCACTTTCCTGCACTATGCGCGCACATTCCTGCAGCGCTATTCATACTCCCGCGACTTATCCGACGCTATTCCCGCGCTTATAGTGCTATCAGAATTACCAGCAATGTGTCTATAGGAGCATTAGTGCATGTCTGCTCTATCTAGCTCTTGTTCCCACGCTTAGTGCTTATCCAGCGTGCTGTTCTTGCACTCTAGGATCCACCCAAAATGTTGGAATCCATCCATTGTCCATCCTACTTCATTGGTATGTAATTTGCCTTGCCTCGAGTTTGTAACAAGTGCAGTCTTATTACATGTATGTATATCCTATCCCTTCCGAGTCCGAAATGGTATAGTTTAGTAGTATAAGAAGTCTACGAATTTACTTCCCTTTGACTGTATTTCCTTCCCCTTAGGTTTTACTTAGAAGTAGTCACCCTTTAGTTGCCCTCTATGGCCCCTATTTGGCTTTCCTTACCCTTGCGATCAATACCTTTGATCTCACTCGCTATCCATTACCCTCCTTTGACTCAGTGTCTGCTTTCTTGACATCCGCTCTTTCCCGCGCATTAGCACTCTATCTTGCGACACACTATCCCCGTGCTATAGCGCTCTTTCGGGTCTTTCAATCTTGAGTTATCCTTAGTAGCTATTCCCTCGGGTCGAACATTCTTGCATCTTTGTTGCAAGTATAGCAGCATAGGCAGAGCATTAGACATATACTGGCTGAGTACCTTAACAAGTGCCTAGTCAGGTTGTGTTTTTCGCACTGGGATCAGGGTAACCATCATCTTTGGAGTCAGAGTCACAGACAGCCACTAGAGGTTGTCCAAGGTGGCATGGGGACCTGGTCAGAACTCGACAGGTGACAGCAAAAGATGTCGCTGCTGGGCGACAGGCTTCGGGGAAAGCCCTCACTGGTAATAGGTGACAACAGACAGCCAAGTCTGAGATGAGGTAGGGATTTAGTGTGACGGTACAGTGGCTGCTACAAATGCTGAATGATATCACATTGGAGTATTCATCCATAGTGCTAGTCCGTAGTGTATCCCATAAAAGAATATTTTAAATTACCCTGGCATGATTAAGGTGTTTGAAGCATGAGCCTGATCATGATGACTCACAAGTCGACGATCCTTCAAATAATCCACTTTGAAAGTGCATGGATGCAGAAATCAAGGATTGGTATTCTAAGGACATTTTGTCAAATCAGTATGGGTTAAGGCATGGTTATGGCTACCTCAAGTCATCAATTCTGCACATTTTCAACATCTTGGACCTCATTTGTGCACATTTTCCAATATGTGAGAAATGTGCACAAACAGGGTTGGTGAAAACTATCACTTTATGATCAACCTCATTTGTGCACATTTCTCAGATATCGGAAAATGTGCGCAAACAGGGTTGGTGGAAATCACACTTTATGAGCAACCCCATTTTCGCACATTTTCCGATATGTGAGAAATGTGCACAAATGAGGTTGATCATAAAGTGATAGTTTCCACCAACCCTGTTTGCACACATTTCTCACATATTGGAAAATGTGCGCAAATGGGGTTGGTGAAAACTATCACTTTGTGATCAACCTCATTTGTGCACATTGCTCACATATCAGAAAATGTGTGCAAATGGGGTTGCTCATAAAGTGTGATTTCCACCAACCCTGTTTGCGCACATTTTCCGATATCTGAGAAATGTGCACAAATGAGGTTGGTCGAAATCACACTTTATGAGCAACCCCATTTGCGCACATTTCTCACATATTGGAAAATGTGCACAAATGAGGTTGCTAATGAAGTGTGATTTCCACCAAACCCATCTCCGCAAATTTTCCGATATGTGAGAAATGTGCGCAAATGGGGTTGCTCATAAAGTGTGATTTCGACCAACCCTGTTTGTGCACATTTCTCAGATATCGGAAAATGTGTGCACATGGGATTGGTGAAAATCACACTTTCTAATATCTGAGAAATGTGTACAATGGGGTTGCTCATAAAGTGTGATTTCCACCAACCCTGTTTGCGCACATTTTCCGATATGTGAGAAATGTGCACACATGAGGTTGCTACTGATGTGGGATTTCCACCAACCTCATCTCCCCACAAGTTCTGATATGTGAGAAATGTGCACAAACAGGGTTGGTGAAAACTATCACTTTATGATCAACCTCATTTGTGCACATTTCTCAGATATTAGAAAGTGTGATTTTCACCAATCCCATGTGCACACATTTTTCGATATCTGGGAAATGTGCACAAATGAGGTTGCTAATGAAGTGTAGTTTTCACCAACCTCATCTCTGCACATTTTCCAATATGTGAGAAATGTGCACAAACAGGGTTGGTGGAAAACTACACTTTCTAATATCTGAGAAATGTGCACAAATGAGGTTGCTCATAAAGTGATAGTTTCCACCAACCCTGTGTGTGCACATTTCTCACATATTGGAAAATGTGTGCAAACAGGGTTGGTGGAAATCACACATCAGTAGCAACCTCATTTGTGCACATTTTCTGTTATCTGAGAAATGTGCGCAAATGGGGTCAATTAATGACCAACCCTGATATCTGGATCATGAAGTGTAGGTTTTCACCAACCTCATTTGTGCACATTGCCCAATAGTGGCACTCAGAGTAGCAATTAAAACATCACCAAAGCTTGCTAACTCTTGGTTAAAGTTTGACAAAACTCAGGTAAGGACTGCAAGAACAGCCACTTGGATATGCAGCACACTCAGCATCATAGCAGACTTTGAAAGTTATGCCTGCCACTCAGCATCATAGCAGACTTGAAGTTATGCCTGCCACTCAGCATCATAGCAGACTTTGAAAGTTATGCCTGCCACTCAACCATGACGTCCTCGTCATTCTGCAAGACTCAAAGCACTGCAGACACCCTTTCAAAGAGACAGAACCTCCATGGACCAAATGCCAGGGCCTGTTACTCGTGGAAGGGGTGGCAAGTCTCGAGGTTTGCAAAGTACTAACACCTCAGATCAGCCCAAGTTTCAGATACAATGGTTATCTGCCTCCTTCCATACCCAGAAGGTCATCGACTACCTCCACAACCACTCAGCTGATTGTCAGGTATTATTCCCCTCCAAAGTCAAACAATTGCACCCTGATGATGACTGCCCCTCAGCCAAAGACAAGCTCTCAATCTGTGCTATTATTGCCAAGCATGTCTTTAAAGATGACGGTGACTATGCAGACCACTATCTAAGTGCACTGGTTAAATTCCGTGACTCTACCAACAATCACATCCAGGTGTAAGTTTACCCACTAGTCCTTCCCTTATGTACTAACATCTATATACAGTCTCAAAAAGAAATATTGTGAATGCCACAATTGATTACATGCCACTGGTGCTGGTGTCATGCCGCAGGACAAAAACACCGCTCAGAATTTACGTGGTATGTGTCCCTTTTATATTTATGATTGTCTAACTGAGAAATTTCACAGCGCAAGTACTCAAAGAATTTCCATGGCACGATGATCTCGTTATCATTTTGAGGGGCAATCCAGCATTGTCCCTCAAAACAGTTTCATCACGCCCAGGAATGGACCACGCCCACCAATTTTTTCTCAATATCTCATTCAGCTGGAAGTTCATACTCTAATGGCCCGAATTCTGGAAGCGCTCAGTATGGCTATGCCCCTGGCACTCTTCTTCCTTCTGGCGCTTATCCTCCTGCTGGGGATTATTATCCTCCTTCCAGCGCTCATTCTCCTTCTGGTGCTCATCATCCTCCTGGGGATTATTCCCCTTCTGGCACTCACCCTCCTCCCAGGAATTACTCCCCTTCTGGCACTCATCCTCCTTCTGGCACTCGTCCTCCTCACTCCAAAGCTCCTCCTTACTTTACTCAAACTGGCAGTCAATATGGATTCGGTCACGTCCCTCAGCCCTATCAGATGGGCTACCGTGAGGAGTACATGCAGCGGCCTCAGTTTCAATCGCACGGCATGCCTTCCCCCTCTGACTCTCTTCTCGACAAGGATGAAGACATGCCAGATTACTTTGGCCCCCTCAATGATGGCGAGGGGATGGATTTCTCATTCGGTGACCTACCGCCACATAATTCCCCGATGATGCATAATTACCAGCAAGAAACTAATGTTACCATCCTGAATAGTCCACCTAGGCCTACAAGATTGAAACGGCCACCTCCTCCATCATCCCCCTCCCCCCCTATCACCCCCTTGCCTCAATCAGAGTTTGTTCTACCGCTGAAATTACAAACTGCCCTCCATGATAGTCGCAGTTCCTTTGTGCTCACTGATCTGAAGAGACATCGAAGCACAGGGTCAGCCAAGCCTGTCTCTCACCGCTCTTCAGGGTCATCATGGTCTAGGCTGCCGTCGACATCATCAGCGCCTGCGTCAACATCTCCGATGTCTCAAATTGCGTCCTCCATGGGAGGACGCACGCAGACGAAAAAGGTGCGGTCCAATATCCAGAGCCAGGTTGATCTGCTCAAGGACAAGATCGAGAATGCGCAGTCGGATACGACTTAAGATTGGAGGTCCCAAGCGAAGGAGGTTCCAGGTAAAACCTAGTAAGATTAAAGTAAAGAACTACATAGTACAAAGCAAGTTTATATAGGAAACAATAACTGCTTTAGGGCCGGTATAATGGAGTCAGAACGAGTCAGAGATAACAAGAATAGATCACCTAGCGACAGCATGATGCAATCGTGATGTAATACAATTGATGATAAGAGATAAGTCTAGTGATGGCCATGATGGCGGTCGTGACGTAATACAATGTAAGAAGAGAAAATGAATAGGGGCGTACTTGATTGTAACATTACCCCGTTGTTATCGTTTGAAGTCACTGATTTCAACAATCAAAATTATCGTAGGCATCATAGTTGTCACGATCTCCGGCACATTGGGTGAAAAGCTTCTCGTCTTCTTCGATGGAGAGTTGCTCTAATGTGGCGTCTTTATCAGCCTCCTATTTAGCGAGAGCCTCATAGAAGCCCGCATCCGTCCATACTAAAGGAATCGGGTTTTCTCCCTTGAGTTCTTTGCAGAAGACAGATAAGTGTCCTGGCGCGAGATTACGGCATATGCGACAGAAGTATGTGGGGCAATTCTTGTGATGATGACCAGTAAGACTACAGTTGCGACAAATAAAGTTATCGCAATTTTCAATCTTTACGACGGTGACTGAGGATGATTGCGGAGGTGGGGATGGTGTTTTGGAGCGTAAGGCGTGGTTGCGAGGAATGAAGGGGATGAAGCTCTCTTGTTTGGAGAGTCGTCGGCGTGTGGGGCATATGCGGGGAATCATTGCCGCCGGGGCAGCTGTAGTAGCAGTTGGTATGACAGGTACAACAGGAGGATTGATATAATTAGACATATGCTCAACCGGAGGTGGAATAGGAATTGCGACATGTGGGGATGGTGGTCTGGCAACTGGGTTTGTCGCAACTCGTTCGGTGACAATATGGATTGCTTCTCTAACAACCACTTTGGTAGAGGCAGGCATAAGACATACTGCAGTGTTGCGAATACATATATGAAGGTGACGGAAAATGGTCTTAAGATGTTCGTCATTAAGAAGTTCTGCGGTTCATTCAACAAGACTGGCGGTGCAGATGATGTTAATCAGGAGTGTGCTGGAGAGGGCTCCTTGTTCAGCTAGGAGGCGGTCTATTTCGATAGTGTATTGTTCGGAAAGGAGAGTGGATTCAAACAATGTGTTGGTCTTGATGTCGTCAATAATAGTGAAGTAGTTTGGGGATTCGATTGTTTCAGTCAATGTAGCAGATGTTGTGGATGGAGAGGGGGCAAGGCTAGCAGACATATTTTCAATTGCGTTGGTGATTGTCTGAAGTTGTAGGAGGCAGATTTGAAGAGTACGAAGTTCTGAAAAAGACATTCTTTCGTTCAGACTCTTATAACTGGTGAGCTTTCTTATAAGCAGCGAGGAGTGTAGAAGTGTTGCCGAGGTTTTCTTCGGGGATCCATTCGTTGCTAGCAGAGGAATATCCTTTCCATGATACAAGATAGTGTCTTCGTTTACCCGTGCCTTTGTGCGATAAGATTGCTTCGACTTTGTATTCTTCTTTGTTATCAATGATATCGGGTGGGGGATCGGGGAAGTTAGGACCATGTATCTCTGTTTCGTGATAGGATGATAGTTCGGAAGCATGGAATGTGGGGTGAACCTTCCATTGTGTGGGTAACTGGAGTGTGAATGTGATCAGTGATAATACTGCAGTGATGGTAAAGGGGCCGTATCGTTTTGGAGCGAGTGTTCATGATGGTAGCTGTGTGATAAGGTTCTTTCCTGACAACCAAACCTTGTCACCGATTTTCCATGGTTGATACTTCTTTCCGTATGATCGTGCGGCCATTCGCTGCATTGCGAGATTATGACAAGAGATAGCTTCTTCGCGTATCTTCTGAAGAAGGCGGAGCCGTTCTTCTGCGGCTGGTACAGTAGAGTCTGGGAGTACATGAGGGAGAGCCCGTGGCTCGTATCCCATCATAAGGAAGAATGGGGATGCATTGCGAGAGTCGTGTTTGCGGTGATTGTGGACGAATTCAGACATGGGGATATGTTCAACCCATTCTTCTGGGTTGTTGCGGCAATGGATTCAGAGATAGGTTTCTAGTTCTTGATTTAGACGTTCAGTTTGACTGTCTGTCTGTGGGTGATAAGCGGTGGAGGCTGCGATGTCGTATTTCAAAAGTTTAGCAAGGGCTTTAGAGAACTTGGATATGAATTGTGGTCCTCATTCTGAGATCACCTTCTCATGGAGTCAGAAGCGGCGGTAGACGTATTTGAAAAACTTCTTTGCTACGCCTTCTGAGGTGATGGTTTTTGTACAAGGGATGAGAATTACCCCCTTTGTAAGACCATGGTCTACCACGACCATGATAGAATCAAAACCGTTGCAAGGAGGCAAATCGGTAATGAGGTTGACGGAGACTTGGGAAAAAGGGGTAGAGACTGAAGATGGGATGGGAATGAGCAGAGGGGTAGTGGGATGAGTATCGGATTTCATTTGCTGACAAAGGGCGCATCCCTCGACATATTTTTGGATATAAGTTCCCATGTGTCCATCTGCCATCCTCGCTTGCTCATCCTCATCCATCCATTTGCTCTCTCACGTCTCCTTACTCTCCTATAGCAATGCCATCATGTATACCCGAACCCCAAATAAAATTTGATTACCTACTTGTTCGTCGTCTCGCTATTGAGTATGTGTTTTTCGACTCAGAGTTCCTGCAATGCTAATTTCATTGTCTCTTAAAGACTGGGGCAAGGGTCCGCATGTGTCTAGCAGGGATTTTGTCAAGTCACGGCAGCTCCTCCAGATGTATGCCACCGTATTTCATACATCGGTCATCTCACACTGGTTTCAGTATTCCCGCACCACGTTGATCAGTGATGCGAGGTGGCGCCCTCTCATCTTACTTTAAGGATGTTGGTTTTCATGTTCTCTTGAATTCAAATTTTGTTATCAGAGATCTAAATTACATCTCCGCAAGTCTCGGATACCCTGGAGTTCTGCCAGGATCTGTCACCCCCCTTTCGCGTGAGTTCTGCCAAAAAAAAAACAGCAAAACTGGTTGGCAAAACTCCCGAGTTCTGCCAACAACACTAGCACCCTGTAAATAAGACATAAACAAGGCCACCCCGTTTGTGCCAAAAGGGCGCAAGAGGTAAATCCAATCCCAGCAGCGACCCCTCCCAGGCATTACAGCCCAAGAATACTCTGCCTGTAACTATAAGGACAGAGGGAGTGCCGCCCCACCTAGCGCGGCTGTTGAATAAACAAGATGCACCGAAAGGCGCGCGCTAGGCAGTTGGGATGAATGGAACTCAGAGTAAAGAGCAAGAGTCAATCGAAGAAAATCAACAGTGACCAAACAACCAAATACAAGTACCAACAAACGACTATTCTCCTTTGTGCAGGGCAGGACCTTTGTATTACCGTGTGTTAGTGATGAAGATGAGAGAATGAATATAGGTGGAATCACCAAGATATCTAATATTGACAGGGAGGTGAGTGGACAAGGTAGTGATACCACAAGAGGATGAGTAGATAAAGTAGTGATACAATGAGAGCTTTGTAAAAAGAATCAAACCAGATTTCATCAAGTATTGACTCGGTTTGTGTGTGGGAAGGTCTGGCTTTGCCAGACCAGCGCAAGAGGGAGGGGGTCTGGACCGAGTGCATGATCCGGAAGATTCTGAAGAAGTTCAGGGAGTTTTTCTTTCCTTTTTGGACTGCATCATTCCGTCGAGCTTTGTCTTTTTTTAGAATCTGTAGCTGCAAGGAACTCTGAAGAATCGAGAGTCTCGAACTAGGAATGAGAGCGGGACTAAGTAGGGTAATAGTCAGGAAAATGTTGGTAGAGGTGTGAATACCAGAGCTCACCTCAGTCTTGGATCAAAAGACTGAGGGAGAATGTTTGACAGGGAGAGAGGTATTAACACCCTGATTGAGGCGGATAGCCAAAGGTGAATGTGTATTAGGACTGTAACAAGGAGTGATTGGGTATGTAAAAGAAAGGGATGAATGTGTACCAGGGTGAGGTTGATAGTCATATCTTGATAGGCTCTGAACATCTACCTTTGCTGGCACAGGGTAGCCATTGCTCCAGCGGTCAAACCGTGACTGGTGAGCAATCAGCCTATATGCCTGATGATGAAATCTCTGAATAATAGGAGCCAATCCCTCGATGCATTCCTGATTTGTCTTTCTGGCTGTTGCTCTCTAGTGCATCCCTCACAGAGAACAGCCGCACTGGAAGCGAACAGCATCCATAGAGGTTGCAATGGTCACGTCCATAAGTTGGCGAAATTGATGTAAGATGGTTCAATATGGAACTCGGTGAAAAAAATATGTAGAGGATGTCGCACAGTAAAGTCACCCAGTGACCCTTGCTTCACATCGTAGTGCCTGGCGAGGCCCAGCGGAAGATCTGCAAGGGAGTGAGGGTATCCCAGTCAAACTGAGAATTGTGCTGTTCACAAGGCATGGCCACAGCTGCCAAGCAGACCTTAAGAGTAATCTAAAGCTCCCTGCCTCTTACAAGGTGGGTTCTGTTTGACAAGTAGGCAGCGCAAAGCACCGTTGCTATCCTCTCCGCCAGACCATGCGGCCTGGACGCCTCTCCAGTACATGGGGTAGACTTATCCTACCCTGCGTACTATTTCCAGAATACACCAGAGTACTATCCCCCATTACAGGCAGATATCTGCTAGGCGGCATTTGATATAAAACATGGGTGAGAAAAGAATGGCTGAAATGAAATTGAACCAAGCCAAACATTACAAAATAACGGCAGCAAGCTTGTTCTACAAGCGTTGTGTACATCAAGTCATTTACACACCCTTTGGGCAAGGCATGGAATGCATGTGGATCACTAGCTACATCAGCGGTATACTAGTATTACAACAAAATTTTCGAGAGCGGCGAGCTGGAGTTGTTGGATATTGAAGCCACAGGCTGTAACTCAACTCTCACTAACAGTATATAGTATCCCGATTACTCCTGAAATGCTCACTTAATGCTTGGACGCTCCTCATCATTTTCCCTCAGTCTTCTATTCGACACTGAGGGTATGTCCATTCATTCATAGTTGTCTCACTCATGCTGACTTAGTATTGTATACCAATCATACCTGTATTGAGGTCAGGAATTTCGTCAGGAGTGTACTTTAGTTTTTCAAACAGATCAGGCTCATTCCCAGACACCGCTTCAAGTGCGAGGGCGGCATACTAGGGGGATGGACGACACGTCGCGACCAAGTGCTTTTTGAATGGTGTGTCTTTGTCTCCGATAATGGGGGCATTCTAGCAAGAGGTGGTGGACTGACTCTTCTACATTTGGACAGTGGGGGCAGTACGGGTCTTCGGCTTTACCTCTGGACTTTCTGAGTCTGTGCAGACTCTAGGTATGCGTCTGGGTACCTCTAGGCAAGCTCCGCAAATTAGACACCACTTGAACTGCGTCTGAGTTGCTGAATACCCACCCCACCCGCCTGTCGTTACATCCAGATTCCATTCCTCTTCAACAGTCCTCATTTGCCTTCCCGCACATATCTTCTCATATATTACCTTGTTCACATCGTCCTCCTTCCCCCTCTTTCTACCTGCCTGTGTCCTCCCGATAATACATCATCCTGCTCCCCCTAACTCTACCCCATCTTCTCATGTTGACGTCATGTTTCTTGTACAGCTTTTCCTCTGCCTGTCTCCCACTGGCTTCGTCACCGATTGCGCCAGTTGTGGCGGTGCAGTCTCCCTGTCAATCTGTCTGACTGATAGCAATGGAGATGGCAGCAAAAAATGGCAAGGGTATGCGCTGCCTGTCGTCGCTGCATGTTGAATCAAATCGTCAGCATCCATCATGCACATTTTACCGCTGGTATCCACAGCCATTCGCCTTCCCACACATCGTGTCATTAATTCCTATGTCAACAGCGTCACGAAGACCCCCAGCTCTCAACAGATCGTCTCCTCTAGCAGTACTACCCTCGCCATGCTGTCGCCCTCCTTGACGCAGCCTTCGAGCATGCAACAATGCAAGGGCGTTATCTGTGCTCATTCTGCTCTTGTCTGCGCGCCTTGCAAAGCAGACATGGCCCGTGCTTACAACCTTTTGCACCATACATTTCACTTTACTTCTTACTAGCCACCATTGTAGTTACCTTTGGCAACATATATGATGTTGATGAATATCTTGACATTGCAGTTAAGAACATTGGCTGGTACAACGGAGAAAGTGGTGAGATCTACAGATGGCATGGTAGCAAACTGAGCCTGTTGCTACATGGCAGCGAAGAGGGACGTGATGGCCATGTTGAGACATATGTTTTCTCCACCTGTCTCTACGTTGTAGTGGTTATCGCATGTGCAATTATTACCTCCAGCTGCCTTTTCTAGGTCCTGGATGTCTGATACATCAGTAAGAAGGTCGATAAATGCTATGGGAAAATTTTATCACTAGTCCAAGAAGGTCAACGTCAGAGGAAGCTGTTTTCCAAATGTCCAGCGTCTCTCTTAGCCTCTATTGCTTTGACACGGTTGAGGAACAAGTCCAGGGCATCCTTTGAGACAACTTCGTTATGCCCGGGAGGAATTGCACGAAGGCCATTGATGAACTGTTTGATGCCTTTCTCATGCTCTTTCGACAAGTAGCCCGTGAGTTTCTTTTCAAATATTTCCGAGGTGATGGTTTTCTGAACATATGCAAGCATCCATTCATAGATGGGTAGCAATTGGTGAGATATTGTGGACTGTTTCTCGGATGTGGTGGGCTGCGACGGTGGAGAAGAGTTGGAATTTACAGAGGCCCCTGCGCGATCAACATGTTCAAGGCCAACTTGAGCCCGAGTTTGGCGGTCTGCCTGACCCATTTCCGTATCCTCCATGGATTGAGCTGAGACACAAGCTTCACCATTAGCATCGTTTGACTGGCAATGCGACATAGCGGGTGCAGAAAATGAAACCGACACTCACAATGGTGCGACCAATTCCTTGCATCCTTCAACACCTCCTGTACAGACTTCTCTTCCTCCAAAATTGTCTTCACGACCCTCTTCCATACAGGCTCATATTCTTTTGGGCTCATTCTCAACAAGGATTCCCACAGGATCTGGTCTTCAGGATTCCAAACTCTGTTCTCGGAGCCCCGGCGCATGAATCCCTGGAAGATCAACTGAGCTTCCAAGCTATCAAAGGGGTTGCTTTCATCTAGGATAGAAGGCCATTGAACCTGAGGTGTAGCATGAAAAGGAAGAGGTCAATACCCTTTTTTTCCCAAGGCTTGCAGGCATCATCATCCAGATCCCATTTCTGCCTCAGGTGATCCACAAATTCCCTCCAGGTCATCTCTCCTAGCCAGAGTCCACCCACAATCTCCTGGATATCATCACGGTCATTGCCATCGCCATTAGCGACAATGATGTTGGCGATGCTCTTAACGTCATCCTCAAACTCTTTGACATTTGTATAGCTCGGTTCTTTCCTGAGGACAAAATTGAAGAAGGCGATTGGGGTGCCCGCAAAATCGTGGCCTGCATCATGTAGCGTTATCAGTAAGTAACTTAGAAGAGACGATGCGGAATGAACTCATCAACCTTGGCTGTACCACTCCCATTGCGCTTCACTCCAGAACAAAGGATGAGGACTGTGTCCCTCGTGCCAACGGCCTGGCAGGTCTCCATCTTTCAAATGCCGAGTCTCATGAAACGCGCCTGGCTTCTTCAACTCGTTCAGGGCTTGTGGCTTGATGACACACTCAAAGGTTTCACGAATTTCCTCAACACGTCCATTGATCGATGTGGCAGGGTCCGGCGGTGGGGACAATGAATCCTTCCCTTGGTCATTAATATTCCATCCTTTTTCTAGCTGCATGTTAGGCGGTGGGTGAGCACGCACAGATGCAACAAGCTTACCGAAGAACACCTTGTTTGCAGCTGTGACTGGATCCGCTACCAGGAATTCGCGTCCTTCAACGAAAGCCTCGTCGTAATCCTTGTTCAACCAATCACGACACATGCGAATTTTCCATTCGTCCAGAAGCGGGATGCTCTCTTTTCCAGGCTCTGTGAGATAATCCAACTTCAGCAACTGCTCCACCACCAAACACCTGGTGAGCATGTGCTGGACAAGCATTGCCCCCGTGTTCTGTCGGCAAGTCACAACCATGTCAACCTTCTTTCCTTTCAACTTCTTCATACCCTCTTCCAGCCAAAGCTCCCAGAGGTTGGAGCATAGTACGATGTTGTAGGAAAGCTCCAGCCATACATCCCTGTACCTCAGGGGCAGGGGTACAAATCCTTGCTTCCGCCCACCCTCAAACACTGGCACCTGGCACATTTTGTATGACTCTGTAGTCTCAACCTCGTTCTCTTGCGGTTCCCCGTATGTGATCCGGGTATCGTCATTCTTTAGCCAGTCGTCCATGACAACCTCGGCGTGAACGAGTGGGATTGCAAATGAAGTAATGGGCTGGCGGAGTGGCACGGTTGTCGAGTTGCGCCTTGTGGCATTCATGGCTGGTAAGCTAATTGTGACCTTTCCTGTGCGTTTGCCTTTGGATTTAGGCCTACTGACTCGACCCACACTGCGCGCTTTGAGTGTGGTGTGTGCCATTACAAGATGAGTGCAAAACCTTAATCGTGCATCGACCTCAACATAGGGTATTTGATATCAAGGCCGGCCCTCGACAAATTAACATAAGCACAATTTAATTTCCATTCCGGGCTCAGTCATCTTGCTTTCAAGGTCATATGCCACCGGCCAAATATACACAAATGTCATTAAACAACAATCACCTTGCTTGCGAGGTCATATGGCATGTGACGAAATCTGACGGACTATATGGCAATAATTACCTTGCGGAGCAAGGCTGCATGATGTTGTTGGGATAATCTGTCAGTCACCTGACATCAACATCGCTGTGCAATCACGCGTTCCATTACCAATAAAGTACAAAATAAAGAGTGAATAATGATACAAATACAATGCTCAAGAACAGGTTAACGCCCTATGGAATACCACCGGCAATAGTGATACAAATGTCACCAACAAGAACACGTCTGCATCAACACTGATACAAATACAAAAAAGTCAATCAACATGACCTAACCTGTTGGCCCTTGGAACTAGTTGCCTCCGACACAGTCTCAGGCTTCTTGTGAGGCAGTTGTTGATCATTGGCTTCGCTGTCGATAAGATGTAGTTCACCAGAGACTGAGTAAAAGCTGCTGCAACGGTCAAAATAATGGATGGATTGAGAGCACCAATGTAGCATCAAAGAAAAAGTGTACACATGTGCAAATAGCCTCAATGCCGAAAATGGAATCGGAGCAAGGTCATCAGTTCGCACAGTGAACCCCTAGTAAACAATAATAAATATCAATAAATCATCAGTCTCCCTGTTGACAGTACTTGTTGAACACCATCATCGTCATCATCCATCCTGTCGTCGATATTATGAAGCCAGGAGATATCAAACACGATTCTTGTGTCTGCGTATACCCAGCTCATGGCAAAGTGCAGCTGTGGAGGTATGGTGGATCTTTGGTGACGGTTCGACTTGCTGCCATGCCGCATACATTTTTCATAGCCCGCCGTATTTATCATCCTGTCGCAGGTGGTACGGGTCACCCGCGGGTGAGTAGACATATTTTGTGATACTGGTATGTACATGTGCTGAGGAGCGAAAACACTATGTACAAAGCTTAGTCCGAGTCAATAACAATATTGTTGCTCTTTCCCTTTCCTGAGGCCTTGCCTTTGCCCTTTACCATCTTCATTCGCATGATTGATGTGACAGCACCGAGATCGTTCATGAGAGGTGTGTTGTACCATGATCCCACAGCCATCTGAGCTTTGAAGGTTTGCGAACTAACACCATGCTGGAGGTGGTTGACCTGAAGACTGCCACCTGAAAAAGCCCGGTCAGTGTCAACCGAGGAAGCTAATTGGTCTCTGTCAGATTTCATCAATCAACAAGCGAGGAAAATACCTGGAGCAGACAAAAAATCAAGTGCCATTTGTGCGAGTCGTGGATGAGTGGCACGAGCATTCTCCCAGTAGCGAAGAAGACCCCCTGCAGCCAGAATCTTGGCTCTCGAAATACATGGGGTGTTGAGGTATGCATCCATTGAGTCAGGATGGACGGAAGTGACATCCTCATCTTCGTTGTCACTATAGATAGCCCATTTACTAGATGAACGCTTGAGCTGCGAGAAAATTGTTGTTAGTAGGACTCACACCAAGAAAATATAGCGCTTACTGGAACATGACGTGTCGTGGTTGAAGGAAGTGATGAAGGAAGTGTTGTGTAAGACTCATCCCAGCATTGCTGAACAAACCGCTTGGCTTCCATGTGGTCACTCTCGCGCCAGTCCAGGTTTTTTTTGAACCATTTGAGCCTTTTTCTGGGCACATTACTATATCATAATATTATAGATGAGGACAGAATGGTGTGACGGAGACGGAGACTCACTAATTGCAATGCGACACACTTCATTGTCATCAGTGAGTGCATAGTACTTGCCTACAACTTGCAGAGCTGCTTGTGCGGCAATCTGAATTACGGGGTGCTCGTCTTTTGCATTGTAGATCTGATCGAGAGCGTGCTCGAGATGTTCGAGCATGGGGATGACTTCATAAATCAATGGCACGTTAGCCTTTGAGAATATGTTTGTGAGCTCATTGAAAATCTTGAATAAGGTCAGTAAGCGCTGCCATTAACAAACCAATATGAAACATACCTCAAGGACGGGCACCAAGTGCTCGGCTAGCTTCCATTGTGCAGGTGTAAGGGCATAGTCTCGTAAATTGTTCTGTGTCATGAAATAACTGGACCTCCTCCTTGAAATGGAGATGTGTGTGGAGACACGCAAAATCAGAGTTCCAGTGGGTAGGAACACGTCAATTGAGGCGCCGTTTTTGACTGTCTTCACCATGTTTATATATAACAGTCTTCTCAAACTCCTCCTGCAAAGTTGTGCTATCATGCACTTTACCGGCTAGACTAGCCACCTAGAATAACATAAATACTTCAATGATAAAATAAAAACTCGTTGGATCACCTTGGGAAACAACCTGAGAGCCTTGAGTTCCTGAGAACTCGACATTATGATGTTCACCTTCCTGGCTGTTTTGATAGCTTGATCATGAACCAATTTTACAACTTCACGGTCATGAGCTTCCTTTGCTTCATCAACCTCGTGGGAGTTGCCAGATGAGCTAGCATCTTCTTCAGTGCTTACGTTGAGGCCAGTCGTTTCCTCGTCCAGGAGTTCCTGCTCTAAGCGAGTGAGTACCTTGTTCTCGTCAGCGAGGCTGGGGAGGTCACATCATCTGCCTGAACATCAGACTCACTCTGTCCTTAGCTTGCATGCATTCTTCTGGCCTCTAGCTTCAACAACATTTCATTTTGTGGTGGTAATCCTAACAGTTTTGGTTAGCCCGTCGAGAATCTAGGTTGGCAAGTACCCATCTCAGTGATATGCCTTATGTTTCTGACACGATCTGCACAAGGCATGAAGGTGAATTCTATTCCATGGACAGACTATCACATAAAAAGGAGGTTTCGGCACAATGACTGGGCCTAGTTAAGACGGAGCTCTGAGGATCTATACACTGCCAAAATGTTGTCACTAGGTTTCGAACCAGCTGCAAGAGAAACAGATTTTGTGTCTGTTGTGGTAACCACTTGGTTAAGATCAGTTAAGATGAGCCTGTGAGGAATCCATCCATGAGTGAATGTCAAAGTGTGTTCCAATAGAAAAAACCTTGTTGTCGGCAGGTTTCGGGCTTGCGCAAATCTGACACAAACATATTTCAATTATGTTGTAGTAAACATAGTAACCACTTTGGCCAGGCGAAGTGGAAATGAACCTCCGAGGAAATGTCCATCGCTGAATCTTCAAGGCGTGTTCTGAGAGAGAAAAACCTCGTCGGCAGGCTTTGAGCCTCCAGCGGTAGTGTCAGTCCCAGAGACAGATTTCGATTTCATTGCAGTAACCACTTGGGCCAGGGCGAGGTTGAGATGAGCCTCTGAGGAACTGTTCACCAGTGAATCTTCAAGGCGTGTTCGGATGGGAAAAAAACTCATTGGCAAGTGTTGAGCCTGCACTGGTACAGTCCAAGAGACAGATTTTGATTATGTTGCAGTAACCAACGTTCAATGTTCAACCCCAGCGAGAACCGGCCCTCACCATATCGAGAGTAGTCCCAGCAGCGACCCCTCTCAGGAATTACACATGAGAACTTCAGCCCCATACAGGGCAGAGGGTGGGCTGCCGCATATCTCCAGCATACGCAAGAGGCAATGACTGTAAGGGAACTTGAAAGAGAGGTGTTGATGGCATGAAAACGGAGTTTAAACTTCAAGAAAACAGTAGTAAACATTGTGGAATCCTTTAGGTCTCCATGAAAAACTCCCGAGTTTTGAACCCTAGGGTTTTTGACACGTTTTTGACATGTTATTAGCTGGTCAAAAACTCGGGGTGGAAATTGGGGTATGAATAAATCAACTATATCGGCATTCGATACCAAGAACATAGTCCAGCTAGTAAGTAAGATATGACCAACAGACCGTCAAGTTGAAAATATAGTAAAGCATCTCATACCACTCATACTATCATAACTGCAACCTTGACAAACTTCTTCAACGAGGTCGGAAGGACCAGCCCACACCATGCTCAATTGAATTTCAAGAGCATGGGCCAGGTCTTGTTGCTGTCCTCAGTGTCCTTACAGCTGCCCTCGATGAGTTTCTCGATTCTGTGCTGCTTCAAAAAATGGGTTGATGATCTATGGTGGATCACAGTACTATATCAACAGTCAAGTTTCGTGACCTGAATAGTACTCTTTTTGATGTTGAGCTTGATGGCAACCCTCATAAAAGGAAATACAACAATTTGCAAGCAGAGGCTACTAACTCGCAGGACTTTAATTAGAACTCGGAGGATGGCTGGTTGGAAGATATTGTGGTAACGAGGATGTTCACCTTGATGTTCCTCGATTGGACTTGCTATGAGAGGAGCTAGTGGAAGAAGGCGCCTCAACAACAGGATATACTACAGATCCATTGCCTTCACGAGGGCCTGTACAGCAGGCCTTTGCATTATGATAGCGAAAAAATGTCAAAATGACCAGAAAAAACACATTTTGGGGCATGTCAAAAGCCCCTTGAAGGTGGGGGTGAGTTAAAATTTCCATGGGTAGTTTTTCACAGAGCCCCAGAATCCCATGCAGTTGTGAAATGAGTGAAAGGTACTGCATGCAACAGGTGGCTTGTATTCAAAGCTATATGAGCGAGCCAAAGAGATATTATAGTGAGACAAGGCCGGTGGGATAAACAAGACTATATGTACCTCAGCATTAGGAATAAAGAGCTCAGGTATGATGTCGGACATCTCAGCTCCAACAAGAAAGAAGCCAGGATTTTCAGACTCGAGTACCAATTGACACTCTTGTATTTGTGTTTGGGTAATCTTGCTAAAGACCAAGATGAAATTTGTTCTCTTAGCTCTCTTCGGTCTCATCTGCTTGCATCAGGAAAAGTCAGGCTGCAGGGTAGATCTACATAGACTATGTTGCTCGTGTTGTTGGGTAGCTACCCCCCCCCCCACTCTCAGACACCTGGTAGCATAGTGTTGTCACAATATAGCGTGAGATAGTGCTTAGTTGCGGCTGGGCTGAGTATCTGCATTGCTGAAGTTGCTCGACATAGCACTCTATAGGATCAGCCATGTGTCCAGTTACCTGCAGTACCAAATTATAATTGACAGTAGTATCTCCGTTAATCACTCAGCGGTTCAAACCATTCGAAAAAATGGGAAAATGGGATCCATTGGCAATATGATAATAACTCATACTAATCATCCTTGGTATCACTCATCACACCCCCACGTTAATTGTACTCCTCGATTGCTGCATTGAATGCGCTACATGCCATGGTGCGACCAATCTCGTGACCAAGGGGGTCTGCCTTTGAATGCGTCCTGATACACCAACCGTCATATGAGATCAAACCAACCCAAAAATACACATGAGACATACCGGCCATTGTCATGAAGACGAGATAACAGTTTGGGAAGAAGGCCTAAGTACACTATGTTGTGTTGCACTTCATATGGTACAGGTGATGAAGTCCCACTTGCATCTCAGTGTCTTAAAAAGAACTGAGATGCTGGGACACTACTATGGGCGCTTTTAAAGTAAGTACATTGACAGCTAGTATATATGAAAACGAAACAGCAAATATTCTAGGATGCCAGGTGACATTGCTCATCCTTGTCCATTTTAGCTTGTGCTTATACCTCTCACTCATTGTCCATGCCTAAGTCAGATCCGACAGTCTTCCCTCTTGGATTTCAACAAAATGCCCAGTGTAGTGATGTTCCGGCCCAGCTTGGCCTGAAAGCCGAGGCTTTGGCCTGGCTTCAGACGGCTTCGGCTTTGAAGAACTGCAGGCCAGGCCAAAGCCGTCAATGGCAGCTTGGCTTTGGCCTGGCTCGGCCTGAGCCGTGGCCCAATACAAGTAAATGAGAACATAATGGGTAGCGACGAGTAGTGGCAAGTAGTGAGAACATGAAGCACGTAGTCGAGCCGTTCGAGCGTCCAGTGTCTCAATGCTCGCATTGAGGTAGGCGTCGAGCTTACCAGCTTAGAATAGTTTGAATACAAACTTGAAGAACAAAATTAGAATTTAAAAAATCTGTGCATACCACAAGCGGGTGAGAGTAGAAAGCGAGAGCACAGCATGGCTCGAGCTTGAAGGAGGATCGACACACTCACAGGCTTTCAAGGGATCAGCAAGGCCCGAGTTCGACAGAAGATCAACACACACTTTCTGTCAAGGGATCAACAATTCGTTCTGTCAGCGAGGCCTGAGCACAGAGGATCAACACACTCACATACTATCAAGGGATCAGCGATGTGTTCGGTCAGTGAGGCTCAAGCTCTACAGAAGATCTACACACTCACTATCTGTCAAGGGATCCGTGATGCGTTCGGTCAGTGAGGCTTGAGCTCCACATAGATCATACACCAATATGCATGAACACTATGCACTAGTATAAAGGCATGTCCCTGTCCCAGGCCAACCGCTGGACTGCTTGGTGCAGCACTCGGGCAGCTCATTTGGAATTCATTGTGCCATCCCCACACAAGCTTTTGTAGAATGCCTCGACTAAACACTGCGCAGTACTATCATTGACCTTCCATAACGTCCCAACTACAGTCTTAACCCTGGCAAATTGCGGGCCAGCCGCTAGGTGTATAACTTCGTCGGGCGTACTAAAGGTACTGACTGTGGTTTCACAGTGCATGAACATTCCTCTCATTTCCGTTTTTGTCTTCCATATATAGACATTCCTCTTCCTTCCCCTAAGCCAAATATAGGCACAGAGGAAGGAAGAGGAATGTGGAATGGAGGAAAGGAGACGAATATCATGTACAAATATAGGCATATAGGACGGAAGGAAGAGGAAGGAAGAGGAATGTGGAATGTGGAATGGACGAAGGGAGAGGAATATTGATACAGAGGAAGGAAGAGGAATACTAGGCACCACCTTCCCACCACTGTGTCGATATTCCTCTCCCTTCCTCCATTCCACATTCCACATTCCACATTCCACATTCCACATTCCACATTCCACATTCCACATTCCTCTTCCATTCCTCTTCCTTCCTCTTCCTTCCGTCCTATATGCCTATATTTGGCAAGGAACCTAACCGTTTTGGGACACTTACATCACCAGATTCCGTCTTTTCTCATGGGACCTGACTTGGCATTCCTCTCTAACCGAAATCCTGATTCCTCTCCTACCATTTCAGGACATCACTAACCCATTTAAGGAAATTCATTCGAATGAATTCTATGGGACCCAAAGCTGACAACTCATATAGATAGGAAATTCATTCGAATGAATTCTATGGGACCCAAAGCTGACAACTCATATAGATAGAGTGCTATAATGGCTCCACCGACGTGGGCTACAGCTGAGCAAGAAGCCGTCCTGATGTCAATGTTGGCTGAATATCGCACTTACATGCCGTCAAAAAATTACACGCAGTTCTGGCCCAAAATCAACCAGAAATTCTTCGCCCAATGGCCAGTCCATAAAGCATACTATCCTGATGTTGATGATGAGGACGAGCTGACCAAGGAGCAGAAGGAGGTGTATAAGACACCGTTGAAAACCCGAAAAAAAGTACATACTCACTCACATTGTTGAAATATTTGCTTACTGTCTATTATAGCAAATCACGTCTTGGTATCGGTGGCAGACAAACCCCGCGTGTCTTACACGTTCGGGTGGTTCCAGAGGAGTCCTTGACATAAAACAAACTCTTGCAGGAGGCACGTCCATGAAAGGTCCCCGTGCACCGAAGGAGGTCGAGGTTTACTCACAGATGTACTATGCTGACCACGTCAAGCAGTCAGCTGACGATGCGATTGCAGATAGTGGAATTACCTCTTGTGGTTCTAAGCTCCGCATGTGTCGGGAGATCACTGCAGAGAAATACGATGCAGAGTCAATTGACGTCAAAGAGAAGGTTAAGAAGGAGCACCGAAAGTTGCAAAAGAAGTTCAAAAAAGCCCAAAAGGCCGCTGAGGCAAGGGAAGAGGTGGACGACGATACAAAGATTAAGTACGTCCTTACATTTTCAACATTTTGTTCAGCAAAATTCACCGTTATGCAGGGCAATCCATGAGCTTCCAGTGATGTTAGATCGTATCTTCCGACACTTGAGTCATATGACTGGTGGATGGAAGTTCTCCGTCCTCATGGGTGGCCGCGATCCAGAAGCTGGGGGTAATATGCAATTCTTCGAGTATGTACCAATTATCTATCTATAATCAATCAGTAACGAGATAATTCTGACAGTTATCACCTTGGTGAATGCGCCGCTGGTGACCAGTTTGCAGAGTCATATGTGATGTACAGTGAGATTCTTAAGGTGTTTGCGAGTTTCGTGGACAGCACCATCAGTAAGTGACTGGCATGGGAAATTGTTTGCTCACTAATGCTAAACTTGATGTTTAGAATACGAGGACTCTCTCCCAGCTACCAACTGCAACCACGACAGAGATGTTGAATGCAGCGATAACAACTCGGCAGGTGAGGGTTCAGATACTGAGGCGGATGAGGATCGCACTGGCGAAAGTACCGCTGCTGGAATAGAGGAGTGGAACACGCTTTATCAGTTGACTCCGAATGAGTGTAATGCATCACAAGACGAGTATAATGCATCACACATGGAGTTGAACTTAGTCTCTTCCATGGATGGGTTTAGTCAGGTAAGCTTGAGGCTAATGCATCACATTTACGAGAAGTTAATGCATTACTACGCAGGACTTAAGCTTACATACACATGGCTTACATACACAGGCATCCAAGCCGTTGGATTACGACATTGACTACAACAGTCTCCAACCTGCGGATTATGAGGCTGCGATGCTCTCTCTTCTGGAGATGCCTAGCATGGATTCAGAGGGTGCTAGTTCACATCTGCCTTTTCTACCTCCTGTAGAGCGTGAGGTTCCAGTTCCTCCATTCATCTGGCCTACTCCATTTGTCTGGCCCACACCTCCTACTCCCCTTGCTTTTCAGACGGACGCAGTGCCCCATGGGTCTCAGCCTCCTGTGGCTCATACTCAAATGCCTACACCTCCTGCTCCCCCTGCATCGCAACCAGGCCCTTTAGCACCTGCAACACCCAGACCTACTAGTCCCTCTACTTTCGAGCCAGATACAGCGATCCCTGCGCCTCAGGCTCAACCTCCTGTGAGAACTGAAGCTCTTGTTCCTACTCCCCCTGCCACATCTAAGGCTCCTGAGATGCCTAAACCTCCTCTCGCTGGATCTCAGACAGACCCAGCGGTACTTGGGCCCCAGCCTCCTGTAACCATTGAAGCTCCTGCTCATACTCCCTCCGCAATGCCTATACCTCCTGCTCCCCCTGCATTTCAGAAGGCACCTGCCTCTGAACCTTGTGCTCCCTCTGCATCTGTAGAAGCTCCTGCTCATACTCCCTCTGCAATGCCTATACCTCCTGCTCCCCCTGCATCTCAGAAGGCACCTGCCTCTGAACCTTGTGCTCACCATGTTGAAGATGAGCAGCCTGGTGCTCGGCATACTGGTAGGGCGCGCTGATCAGTCCCTTTCAATCGCCGTGAATTGCACAATGTCATTGGTGATACTCCTCGGCGGTCTGGTCAAGTGGGCAGAGGCGCAAATGCTACATCAAAATGTGGCAGCAAGCGCAACACCGAGAACACTGGTAATGCATCTAAAAAGTTAGTGTCTTTGAATTTTTGTCATTTGCCATCATTGAGTTCTCGTTCAGAAAATTGAAGGTCACATAATTGCAAGTGTTGGCCGTCTTGCTGTTGGTTGTACATAGCGCCTAACATCTTGTTTATTGATAGGATGCATACTTCAATTGGAAGTACCACACCGTGCTGTCTGTCTTACTGTTAGTCATATATATTACTTAACACTTGAACCTGTACTCGAATCTGTTCTAATATATTGGTTGTGCTATACTACATGTGAATAAGAATGCTGCAGGACCTTGCTAAGCTACAATGATTATAGATTTGCCATTACAAGCTTGGACTTAACAAAATTTTGGAAGTTCAGGAAATGCCGCTGTTGAACTCTATGGACTTCACAAAATTTTGGATGCTCGGGAAATGCCGCTGTTGAACTCTACGGACTTCACAAAATTTTGGACGCTCGGGAAATGCCGCTATCGAACTCTACAGACTTCACGGAATTTTGGACGCTCAGGAAATGCCGCTATGGGGTACAGAAGTCAGCCAACACAGCCACACAACGGGAAGGGAAAGGAACACTGAAGGTAGTCAGGTACAGGAAGGCCCGCTACCCTACATCCAAAGGGTCCGAGCGCAAGGGGAAGGTACTACAGAAGGCCCATAAGGTACCCACCCACTTTTTAATGGCCGGGGCAGCTGAATTAGGCAACTGGGGACTAATGCATTACCTTGAGTGCTAATGCATCACTGATGCATTAGGGATCCTCGAAGATTTCTAAAACGGGAGGATAAGCGGCAGTAACTGTTGATGCATTACAAGTGTCTTACAGCTGTAATTACTTCATGCATTAAAATGACACTATGGGCTGGTCGCATCTAACCCCAACGAGCGTTTACGGACGCATACCTGAGCTAACCACATTTAAAATGCTTGCAAGCACTTTGCGAGCGACTTTTCAACAAACCCGCATTTTTAGATGGCCTAGTAAACGAGGCGCGAGTTCCGTTTACTATTTAGGACAGGTTTGGCGATGCTTAGTCAGCTTCTAGGAAATCTCAGATCCCAAACGTTCATACTCACATAGTACCTATATGTGGAATTGAGCATTTAACATTAGCTTGCATATCTTGGATGTTTCCTGCCATGATGATCATTCTCGGGCAGACGCCTGTGCAAGGCTGTTGGGTAGTTTGAAAGTCCTGGGGTCCTGCCCGTCCTGAACTGGGAGTCCTGTAATTAGTCTCGTCATGCTTTTTGGTGAAAAATCTGTCATTAGTTTCTTTCTGAGATTCATCTCTGTTCTCTTTTAACTTTCTAGTGACCCACTCTCGGGTTAACGCTAGGTCACCATTTGCCAGCGCACATCCTCCAGCTCTGGGAACCACCAAATAGAGTGTCTGGCCAGAAGCCGCTCTCATGGACGTCATTCACCTTCCGTCAAATGACCGCGGGTCTGACACAGAGTTGATTCTTTCCGAACCATCATCTTCTCCAGAACAGGATGTCACCATTAAATTCTCGCATCAACATTTTGTACCCTCAGACTTTCTGAAACCAGAATCTGAGGACCATCCAGAGATCGCCCCCTTTCTTACTGAAGAGCCTGTGAGTCTTTCCACCCCCTCGTGATCCACTGCGTGCGTCAGGCGCACCATATCTTCCTTCTAATGCTTGTCTTTGATGCCTTAGTGAACAAAATTGAATATTCTTTTCTTTCTAGTTTACTTCACCAAGCCTTATCAAACGTTCTCTGGGTTTGAGCAAGGCGTCATTCTCATCCCTCACCTCTTCTCGGCAAGGAAGTTCCAGTAGCATCCTTTACCTAAACCATGGAGGAGCCGAATCACAAATCCTCTCAGACTTCTATGGCCAACCGCTTTCCGACCTCTCCTTGCGCGAGCAGGGCAGTTCGAACGATCTCTGCAGAAGCAAAATGAAGAAGTTAACCGACATCTTTAAGAAGCGCAGTCGGGGAAGGCTCTCCTCAGACACAGGCTCGTCATCCCAGATAGCTTCATTTTCTTCATGTGCCTCCGCTTCAACAGAAACTTTCATGAACCCCTTCGTTCCATCTCCCTCACCAATGCTCAAGAAAGACAAGGAGAAAGGGCGACAACAAAAGGGCCGACCACCTCCTAATCCACGAAGTCCTCCATTGTCTCCAGAAAAGGGTCATGAATTGATAAAGATTGACCTTGCGTCGATTGCGCACATGGAGGGTATCGTCAATGTGTCCCTTTCCGGACAGAATATTACACCATCGAACGTTTCTCCATCAAGTACAGTTGATCCAAGTACCGCCAGTACTTCTGGAAGTAGCTGTCAGCAACCCCCATCACCCACACTCTCCACCTCCTTTGTGTTCAGCAATTTACATCCCTTTTCTTCCACTTCTCCTACCAGCAAGCGAAAGGCTTGCATCGACTTTCGAAAGCTATCTCCAAAGAGTTTACCCCCTTTAGTTGGACCAGAGGAGCTAGATATGTTTGGAGTGACTGCCTATGAAACACCTCTATGGACCGCTCCGGAGAGTTGGGCTGTCGAGAAGGACGGTGAGGAGGAGGCAGATGTAGGGGGCGACTCGAGCTCTGAAGAGAGCACAAGGGATGCCACATCGTCTTTCAATAGCTCGGGGCTTAGTTCGAAACGTAAATCCCGTCGGAAAAGCAGCCACCCGCATAAGCTGCCCTCTCGCGGCAGCAATGACTGCATCCACGTTCGAATATATCGCGCGGACGGATCATATCACGTTGCTCCAATCTCGATACACTCCACCGTTGCGGAGCTCACTCTGTCACTCAATCAGAAGCTATTTGCGCACAAGGAGCGTGAGACACATAGACTGTATCTCAAGGAGAGGGGACGAGGTACGTCTTACCGCTGTGCGCTTGCTTGTGTTTCTCACTGTTGTCAGAGCGTGTATTGGCGCCTACTGAGAGGCCAGCTGCTATTGTCATTCGCCGGTTGGAGCAGGCTGGATACGACCAAGCGGACAGTCTTGCTTTTATCGGTGCGGAGGACATGACCTTCCTTATGAAATTCGTTTTTAAAAGTCAACTCCTCGGTCCAGCAGTAAGTTATCCAGGAAAACATTATAATTTGACTTGACCCCTTGCTTTCAGGCTGAGGACATTACATTTGATACGTTCGACCTGGTCGACCTGACAGGCTGTAGTCTACCCACCATACCCATTGTCCTTCATCAAAACGCTGGCTCGATCGTGATCCTCAATCTCTCACGTAATCCAATGGTTGAGATACCCCTGGATTTTATACAGTCCTGCACGACCCTCCGCGATCTCAAATTGTCCAGTATGGCGATGAAGAAAGTGCCTCAGAGTGTTCGGCACTCCACCAGCCTACATCGACTCGACCTCTCATGTAATTGTATTGTGGACTTGGATGATGCTGGTCTCGACCGTATACCTGAGCTCTCGAGCTTGAGGCTCCAGAATAACAGGATAGAGCAGCTGCCCTGGTATTTCCCTCGCCTCAAGTTTCTGAACTTCCTAAACATCTCAAACAACAAGTTCGTGAATGTGCCTAGCGTCATCTGTCAGCTGCCCTGTCTTGTTGAGCTCGATATGTCTTTCAACATGATCACTGAACTTCCGGAGGAAATTGGTCGGCTCACTACTCTCGAGCGCCTGATTTTGATTGGGAATCAGGTGGTCAGGCTACCCGAAGAATGCAGGAATTTTGTCAACCTACAGTTACTTGACTGTCGAAGAAATAACATTTCCGACATTTCCATCGCCTACGCCCTGCCCAAACTCCAAACTCTTTATGCAGATCATAATTCTGTTCACGCCCTTCATTTGTCCATTGGTCCCAGCCTGTCGGTTCTGGACGCCTCCCACAACGATATCACATTCATCAAATTCGCTCCTAGCTCTCCACGGCAAATATCGCACACCCTCACACTGCTCGATGTTTCCTACGCTAAACTTTCCTCTCTTGATGCATTCGATTTCTCTCAGCTCCCTGCCCTTCATACTCTGAAACTTGACCACAATGAACTCCGCACGCTCCCAGACTCCCTCGGTGAACTCTCCCATCTCATACACCTTTCCTGTTGCGACAACAAACTCGTCTCTTTACCCTCCACTATCGGCCTCCTTCAGCGCCTAGAAACCCTTGATGCTCATAACAACAGCTTGACGGAGCTACCTGTATCCCTCTGGAATTGCGCGTCGCTGATCCATATCAACGTTACCTCAAATCTGCTTGCTAGTTGGCATGATCCTCCTGGAGATAACTTGATTGCACCGGCGCCATCTGGAATAATTCTCGAGATCCCCTCATCATCATCAGCCGGCCACACTCCAAGAAAGCCCTCCAATGCTACATACACTATGTCAATACACAACGCACCTGGTCGACCACTCCCGCCCCTCGCTTACTCTCTCGAGCGACTCTCAATCGGAGAGAAACCGTCTGACAGAGGAAGCAATCCCTCCGTTCACCGTCCTCAAGGAGCTCCGTGTCCTCAACTTATCCTTCAACGAAATTCAAGAACTGCCGTCTTCCTTTCTCCGCAATCTACAGCAGCTGGAGGAACTGTACCTTAGTGGCAATCAGTTAACGAGTATCCCCACTGAAGACCTCGTGAAAATGACCCGATTGTCGGTGTTGTTCTTGAACGGGAATAAATTCCAGACGCTCCCAGCTGAACTGGGCAAAATTCCCAGTCTGACTATCATTGACGCCGGCAGCAACCTCTTAAGGTACAACATTCACAACTGGGAGTTTGATTGGAACTGGTATGTTTTGATCATTTGAACGTAGATGACTGGTTTACTCATGGTGCCGGCAGGAATTCCAATTGTAACTTGAAGTACCTTAACCTGTCAGGGAATAAGAAATTGGATCTCAAGCAGAACAACGGTGGAAAGCGCGTGGTGGATGATCATGGAAGAGTGCTTTCCGACTTCTCTCGACTATCTCAGCTCCGTGTTCTTGGGTTGATGGATGTCATGACCACTTTCCTTCCCAATATTCCCGAAGACTCTGACGAGCGACGTGTTCGTACTTCTCAGACGGAAGTTAACGGAATGTCGTATGGCATTGCCGACACCATTGGGAGGAATGGGTACCTAACCATGCTCGATCTCGTCCTGCCCGAATTCAGAGGCAAGAAGGATGAGGCACTGTTCGCAATGTTTGGGCGTACTAAAGCTCTTCCCAGCAACAATACTCTGTCGAAGTACCTGCACGATAATTACGCCTCTGTCTTTACCGAGCAGCTTCTTCAGCTGAAGAAAGACCAGAAAGGGGAGCGAAGGGATGGCGTACCGGACGTAATGAGGCGCACATTCCTGAAGCTGAACAGACAGCTTCACGACAAGCTCTACTCGCAGCCAACTCGTAAGATGTCACAAGTCAGTGCATCTACCACCGGTCCTTCTGGACCCGATTCTTCTCACCTCCGACAAGGAGCCTCGGGCATCGTGGTTTATGTTGTCGGCCGAACGCTGTATGTTGCTAACGTTGGACATGCCCTTGCTGTCATCTCGAGCCAAGGGAATGCAGAACTCATTTCCAAGAATCACGACCCTTATGATCGGGATGAGGCGAGGCGTATCCGGCTCGCAGAGGGCTGGATATCGCCTACGGGGCTCATCCATAACGAGGTTAACACGTCTCGAGCCTTTGGATATTTCCACGACTTTCCCGTTGTCAATGCTCGACCCGACATCTACGTTCGCCAGCTTACCGAGCTCGACGAGTTCGTGATCATTGGCAACCGCGGATTGTGGCAGTATATATCCTACCAGACCGCAGTCGACATCGCTCGCTCGGAAACTGACCCAATGATTGCGGCACAGAAGCTACGTGACTTAGCCATAAGCTATGGTGCGGACGGAAACACCATGATCATGGTAATATGCGTCTCCGACCTCTTCCGCTCTCGACAGCCTATAACAGACTCTCTTGTGGATCCAGAGGTTTATAGCTCTATCAATAAAAAGAGGGCAGGGAAAAAAGCAGATATCGTTGATCGCACCATTGCTCGCTTAGAAGGAGAGGTTTCACCGCCCACTGGGCATCTCTGCTTAGCATTCACTGACATTCGAAATTCAACACAATTATGGGAAGCAAATACAGGCATGCCCACAGCAATGCGTATTCACAATGACCTGTTGCGACGACATCTCCGAACTTGTGGTGGTTACGTTGTCAAGACGGAAGGCGACGCATTCATGTGCTCCTTTCCAACTACCCTTGCCGCGATGTGGTGGTGCCTCATCGTTCAGCTGCAACTTCTTCGCGAACCCTGGCCGCTGGAGATATTGGAGTGCCCTGAAGGTAAAGAGGTGTATGATGAGCATGGACAGCTTCTTGCACGTGGCCTTTCAGTCCGCATGGGCGTCCACTGCGGTACTCCAGTATACGAACCAGATCCTATCACTGGTCGCATGGACTACTTTGGGCCCATGGTCATCCGAGCCGCTCGTATCAGTGGGATCGCGCTGGGTGGGCAAATCATGTGCAGCGCCGACGTCGTTCGCGAGTTGAATGCCAAGATCTTTGAGAATGGCCAGGACACGGAGTACTCAGAGTTTCAACCAACTCAGGCCATCGAGGCGATCCGGCAAATGCAGATAGCCCTTGTCCCTGCTGGGGAAGTGAAGTTGAAAGGGCTGGAGATTCCGGAGGTGGTTTCCCTCGTCTACCCAGCAGCCCTCTTAGGCCGTCAGGGCTTAGATGCGTCTGGGTCGCATCTGAGCACATCTACATCCACAGCTCGAGTCCAATTGAGTATCGCTCAAGTCAGAGATTTAGCTATGCTATGCCTGCGTATTGAGGCCCTGACTTCAGGCCGCATCTTTCGTCCTTGTCCCAAACAAAAGAAGTGCGTACCTGACATTCCATTGGAGCCTCTCTCCGACAAAGACGTCTTGGAGCCTTCGGTGATGTATGGTGATCCGAACTTGCTTCTCCCGCCAATGAACGAGAAAACATCTGATCTTGAGATCATGATGCACCTCGATTCGCTATCCTTGCGCCTTGAGAACGCTGTTGCGTGTCTGGCTCTCAAGAAACTATCTGACCAATCGTCTGCCCTTGTGACAGCTCTAGAAGGCCATGAGGGTATTGACGATTGGACACTTCATTTGATAACTTCGTTATTATCTCGCTATTGACATTTTTATTGTGATTTCTATCTCTCTTTTTCACTCCTCGACCGCATCACTGTACTGCATTTGCATTCAAACACGTATATAGTTGCACATCTTTCTTATGCATATTAATGACCTGTACAATTTTTATTCCAGTTCGTCTCTGCACTACCAAGAATGAATTCATTCGGACATACAATTGATTACGAATAACCTGGCATTTGTAGACCTAGCAAGTGCACAAATGTCCAGACTGGACCCTAAATATGAGTGTTATTCCACAACGACTTCACTACGAAGTCGGCGGGATCAGGACTTTGGACAGACGCAAGTTCTATACTGGATATGAATTAGACTGTGGCTGATTATGAGCTATGCGACAACAATATGGGGCGATCAGGCTTACCAGTGCGGTCGATATCTATATGAGTTGTTGGCTTTGGCTCCCATAAATTCCTACTACTATAATCAGGTCAGGTGCGCGGATGTGATATCCGCGTGAAGGTCTAATTGATAGGTGCGCACCTGATGGCGCGCCACCCTACGGTGACCTATCCTCCCCGACCCAGAACCTTAGGGCTTGCCAAACTGCGTAGCTGTTGATCTGTCGATATTAAAACAGATCACCCACACGCGAGCGCAATTCAACATCTCCCACTCCTGGCGCTCCGTCTGGGGCTGTGTCGTAGACACCTGATGCAGATTCAAGTCTGTAGCAATTCTTGAAGTGATAACAATAAGCACTAGAAACGAAAGAATGATGTGCATTGCGTACTGCGCCGCAAGTCCTGAACCTGACACGCGCAAACCAGTAGGAAGTAGACCCGAGTCGTTGTGCACCAAATGAATACACATTCCTACGAAACACTTCCAAAGAGAGCGTCAATCAGCGCAGAGATTGTGTCGAAATTGGATTGTCAAACTTACCGATTCTCCAGTAGCTCCCGTTCACTCATACAGCATATATATGAGATGCTTATTAGTGAGAGTGGTTCCACACACGAGGCATGGAGTGTTCTGGAGGTTTCATCGGGCAGCGAGTGTCAGAATGTCAGTCGAAGGATGGACGGTGGTTGGGCTGTCCAACAATCAATGTGGGGTCATCGAAGAATAAGGTTGACATACTTTTCGTGAGCCTTTGAATTGGGCGCCATTCTCTCGATATCTCCGTTGAGTTTCGCGATTTCTGCATCGAACTCGGCAGTAGTCTCAGGAGAATTATCCTATGATCAAAGTCAAGCGCGATTCTGTTCCATCAAAGCTCACATACCGCACGCTCCTCCTCGGTCAAAGAGTCAAAGCCAACTCCATAATCTTGGACTTGTCGTGGTCGTTGAGTACCATCATCATCATCATCAACGTCCATCGCGTCCTCCACCCGAAGGTTCTAAGTGGGAATTTAATTGATGCGCATATGACGTTATCAAATAAACGGCCTTACATTGGGATGTTCTTCAGATTCCCTTCTAATAGAGGTAGCTTGATGTCCTCGAGCCTGCAATTCCTGTAAGTCGCTGATCGTTCTGGCGCCAACTTTTCAATCTCGTCATTCTGAAGATGAATCAATGAAACACAAGTGACCGAGCTATCTGAGCAAACGACCAGCGTACCTTCAGACCAATTTTTTTGAGAGCTTGGTCAAGTATCTTGGCAGCTTTCGTGTGGGTCTCCTGCGCTTCCGTTATTTCAACTTAAATGGTCCGATTCCTGTCTATGAGCTCTGCTACTTTCCCTTACTCGTCTTCAGCTGTGTTCCGCAGCGTCACCAGACGTGACTGCGTCAACTTCAACTACTCCTCTTCTAACTGAGATTTGCACATACACGTCAGTCTCGTGCCTCAACCTCAAAACTGTAAAAATAAAACTCACTGATGCGTCAGCCTTGAAACCTGCTGATCGAATCTAAGTCGCGCCTGGCTGTCCTCTTCGGCAACTTTGAACTGACATTTCTCATCCTCTCGAACATTCTCCACGCCGATCTGGTTTCATACGGTTTGAGCAGGCCCGCCTCGTATTTGCTCCGAATAACGCGGCTCAGCCATTCATCGCGAGCGCCTGACTCCTGATCTGCAGCAGTCAACAAAAACTTTTCTATCTTGGTAGCAGACGGTAGAAGAGGGGGTGCAGGCTCTTCAGCAGGTGCCTCAGGGGGATGCACTGGGGGATTGGATGTCATTTCAGCAGCAGTGGCAGGATTTGAGAAATAGGGAGTAGCCTGAGAGATTGTGGGCGTAGGAATGAGGGAGGGTGTCACTGCTGGAGATGTGATGAAGAAAGACCCTTCGTCTAGGGTTTCCAAGAAGTCACTGGTATAAGTGAGTGAAACGCATAGCGAAAAGACCATAAAATGACTCACGTGAGTACTGGAAATTCGTTGCCCAACGCCCCGGGCTGATAGAGATGTGCGCTTGACGGAACACTCAATGGCCATGCGGTGGTCACTGGAGGAGGCATGGATGGGCTCTGCGCAGGAGTAGATTATATCAACACAATGTAAATTATATAAGGACATTGTACACGCACCAATTCAACCGGAACATCTGCAGGACAGCTAACCGACGATTAGAATTTCAAGTGTGGATTCATTGGAATCTGAATCGCGCAGTGGAGGAACATCACATGACGAAGGATTGAATTTTGGTCGTTGAACTGAGCTGAGGGTGCTGTAGCGGCTAGCCACACTTCAGAGATACTTATAAGATACTTACTTCAGAGACACTTATAAGACATTTACTTAAGAGACACTTAAGAGACACTTCAAAGACACCATGTACTTAGAGACGCCATACTGTTGCTTACTGAATCGAACCACGTGACTGTTCAGTTTACCTTATGCCATTACTCTGTTACTCTGTAACCACCGCACCTTCCATTGTTTATCTCGAACTCGAGTCTCTTTGCTACTACCACATTACTCTTTAATCTTGTCTCGTTCCTTCTCGTCCGAACGGTCTTAGCGTTACACGCCGTAACTCGGCGTGTCTCCACATCACGTGTTCCGACTCTTATTGCCCTCCAGCAACTTCACGCCAACGCAAGAAAACAATTGCTGCTCACCGCTCTGCAGAGTCTGCGCAACTTCAAGCGTCAGGGTCGGTTGTACTGCTTGCCATCCTCCACTCCCCTCTTACCGCATCATTGCTGTGCTTTCATCTTGCTGGTTACAGATGTCACATTTCTAAAGGTATTTCTTTATACAATTCTGTGTTAGCACTCAACTCGTTGCAGAAGGTGTATGGACGCTTCCCCCGCATATTAGGAATGGGAGACCATGCTTCAGTGAGCGCCTCCATACTCCTGCATATCTCCACATTAATTCATTCTATACAGCGGCTGGCAACCCTACCTACGAAATCGCTACCTGATCAACCTTCTCCCTCGTCAAACACCTCTGCACGTTTGACTCGCTCATCATTATGGCTCGCGCCGTTGATATGATCATACTCCTTCTGAACCAACTCACGTATGAAGGTCTCGTCGACGATTTTATTGGTTAACTGTAAGTAGCTATTTTCAAGATCATCGAAGTGAACACCAGACGCTGAGACTTCATACAGGATGAACTCGCAGACACGCATGCAAAACTCGCCAAGCAACACGTTTTTTGTGAGAAACTCGAGACGGACCTACTCGCTCTGAACATTAACAGCCAAGAGAGGAGAGTGGGGAGAACAGGTCTATATTTGAATGGAAGGCTTGCTTTTGAATGGTTCGTAGTCTTTTTCTGTCGTGTTTACTGTACGTCCTTTCATCCTAGGTCATCATCTCTTTCGACTCGCCGCGCTAGCTTCACCAAGCTGCACTTTGTTCTGCGTGTTTCCCTCTCTCGTCACCTCCCTCGCTATATGCTCTCGCCTCGTCTCTCGCTACCATACATTTGTTATTGCCGTCTGTCTCTTATTGCCGTCTGTGTCTCTGAGTGCCATGTAGTTGTTATCAAAACAAAATATATTGATTTTGAGCTATATACAATTGTGCACAACGAAGGGTATCATAAGTCAATGCAGTGGGAATGTTGCTAGACAGAGGTGGCGTTCTAAGGATCTATAAGTGAGGAGAATGTTGAAGACAAGGAAATGGTAGCAATTGTTAGACTAGTGTCACACTGCGCGGCGCTCGAGCTCGGCCACTATTTCTCGCATTCGGTTCATTTCAGCCTCATGCTCCCTCTCCGCTTCCTCTCGTTGCTTCCTCTCCTCCTCTACTCTCCTCTCCGCTTCCTCTCGTTGCTTCCTCTCCTCCTCTACTCTCCTCTCCGCTTCCTCTCGTTGCTTCCTCTCCTCCTCTACTCTCCTCTCCGCTTCCTCTCGTTTCCTCCTCTCTTTGTCAATCTCTGGTTGACGTTGAGCCCCTCCTTCCATCCTCAACTGTAAAAAAACAAATAGGTAAGCAACCCAACCAATCCCAAAAAACAACTCACCCAGCGCTCCTCCTCCTCCTTCCTCTTCCTCCTCTCCTCCACCACATTCTCAAACAGCGCCCACTCCACGCGATACTGCTTACACACCTCCTCGACACTCTCTGCCTTTGGAACGTCCTGCCCCCAAAACTGAGAGCGCCCATCAATCAGGGTGGTCTCCTGGCACCCATCAAAAAGCGTCTTGAGGGTCTCCCAAACAGTGTGTGCATACCAGTAACATTGGTACTGCCACAACCGGTAAGTCGGGGAATGTTTGCTGAGCACGCACAACAGCACAGATACCTGCATCGCCGAAGGACGAGCAGAAGCGGGAAAGTCGAGGTTTGATAGAAATCTGTATGACCGATATCGTTGAGTCAGGTACGATTCAAGGGCAGAGGGACTGTTGAAGGTTGTCGAGATAGTATCGTGAGCAGGGACCTGAGAAACTGAGGGGGACAGTACAGAAGCCTGTCCAACCGATCTAAACGAGCCACCATTGTTCTCCGTGCACTCCACACGCGATGTGCGATCAAGCACCAGGACGGCAACGGCGTGACGTTGCACCGGATGACGGAAATGGAGGAGAATGAATTCGTGTTGCACGTCTTTGGTGCACTTGCAGAAGACCATGCGTTCGAGATCGCACTGCGAGGAAAGCTCACTGGTCATTAGTACTGAGTGCCAATCTCCTACCGGGGTCCGAGTATCACCCTGGGTGAACACCCCAGGGAGGTCGGTTGGGGATGACATGAATGCGTGCAGGATCGTTGCGAGGAAATTGCGAACGCTGAAACGCTTGACGCTTTTGCTTTTGAAGGCCATTTCATTGACTAGGGTTGGGGCACGAGGTAGGGTGGCTCATGTGCTTGGGAGAAGCTGCGTGCGTCAATCATCGTACTTCTTGCTCCTTATGGGCAGTATGGAGACTCATTGGGACCTGTAGGATGCTAATATTCTAATTCCGAAACCAGGATGTACTCGAGCCAACTTTCCCTGGTTTTAAGTTTTACATAATTGACTTCAAGGCCATTGATATTCCGGCACTTTTGTCACAAAAATGCAACGATTTGATCATATGTGATAGGTGAGGCCTCGCTACGTAATAGAATACTATGCCTTCCACTGCAATCGGCACCCCACAGAAGTCGGCAGTCACGCTTTTTCGCAGGGTTTGATGTGACGGGATGCCTTAGAACAGACAACCTTCTGGAGAGAATGTGTTGACACCGCGATCTGCAAATACGATGAGCTTTATCATATGAAAATATTCAGTTGTCAGAGTGAACATACCATACTCGGAACACGCCAAAACATAATTTACACGAAGGAGAGAAGTGAAAGAATGAGCGTTATGCGCTTGTCGACGCGCGTCCGATCAAGCCAGCGTGTGGAAAACATTTTCCATTTGCAGATTGATGTGACTTATGTCCTGTACAGAGTAAAGTAAGGGTATGCATAGTCAATGAAGGCCACTAGACATACAGCACAAGCACATAATGAACGAACATGGTCTGCGGATCGGAGGACCCGTTCCTGCAGGGGTCCCAAGTTTCGGAGTTGATTCTCTCTCGTGGCTTTTGCAACCTTCTGAATCTCCTGCAATAGGGTTAGTAACGACGGAAACAGAGTAATTGAAGAAATAACACACTTGTGCTTCATAATCTGATCACTGCCTCATGCATGGCAAATTCCGAATTCTAGATCCTTCGCAAGATCCTACTCTATATACCACTGGCACCCCCACCCGTGCGTCAGGATGACGTAGCCCACCAGCTTCTGGTACATGGGAGTCCTTAACTGAAACAAATCATTGTTAGATGTGCTTGCCAGGCAAGCAGACAGTACTTACAATGACAACTGCCTCGTTCTCGTGTTTCTATCTATTGGAGTCGAGCATCTATGGTGACCATAGATGTTCCTATCTATTGGAGTCGAGCATCTATGGTGACCATAGATGTTCCTGGAGGGAACATCTTAATTTGGTTAGTAAAGGGAACAAAGGAACACCAAGACTAATATTCTGTGGGAAAAGAGGGAACACTATCTATTGGAGTCGAGCATCTATGGTGACCATAGATGTTCCTGGAGGGAACATCTTAATTTGGTTAGTAAAGGGAACAAAGGAACACCAAGACTAATATTCTGTGGGAAAAGAGGGAACACTATGTCTTTATTTGGTTAAGACAGTGGGAACACAGGAACATCATGTGTCATTATCTGTGGGAAAGAGGGAACACTATGTCTTTATTTGGTTAGGACAGTGGGAACACTGTGGGAAAGAGGGAACACAGGAACATTTATTGGGAACACTCCGTGGGAAGAGGGAACATAGGAACATCATTTGTCATAATCTATGGGAAAGAGGGAACACATTCTTTCTCTGACCTTTAACTCACCACTTGTATTTTCGCATTTTTCACAACCTAGGTGCCTTTAATTCATTATACCCTTGCTTTCATATCATTATAGCATATCTTCACAACATATATGAACCCATCCCAGCCCTTATTTGACCTCCTAGAGCGCCCTATATCAATTCCTGTACTATACCAACATCAAAAATAAAACAGGTTCACCTTTTTATACCTCAACCTGGAAAGCTGGCATGCATGCACATATCTCACCATGGGGAGACTACTGGAGAGCCCCACTGAACTGCTTGTAATGTGGGCATCCTGATAGACAACTTCATCATTATATGTCAAGGTCCAGACTAGGTTCATGGAAGATATATAGCTGGACAGCAGAGCGACATTGAAAGTTTGCTTTTAATGTCTTTGCATTATTGTCAACCAACACCACATTCTCTTCTCTAGTCAATTTACAGCTGTTTGCGAAAAGGTTGACAGTAGTGACATTTTGAGAATGTAAAAAACAAATAAATAATAGGCAGGTACATAGAGTCAAATAACAAGTGCATATACTCACAACAATGGACTCCATATTCACGGACAGCTTCTCGAGTGATGGTGAACTATCAATGCCAGAAGATGACGACGTGTTGCAGTCTTCCTCCATGGACTCTGGGAAGCAAGTGAATGTTGTTGCAGATGGAGACCCTGACGAGTCAGAACCAGTGGAAGTACTTGACAAACATGGACCTGGCCGCCCACAGAGACACGAAGAAGGTATGGTGTGCTCACCACAGGCTTAGGGTGTCAGGACTGTCATGATTATCCTTTGCTTAGCTCCTCCTGCGCCTCAAAATGTCACGATTTCATATTCCCTCGTCATGTACTCATTTGAACAGATGAAGAAACCAAAGACGAAGAGGAGCAGTAAAGTCTAAACTCGATAGTCTAATACAATAGTCTAATACAATAGTCTGAACTCGATAGTCTGAATTCATTATC